CACACATATATATTTTGGCAGTACTGGGGGCTGAACTCAGGGTCTCTTGCTTGCTAGGCAGGCACTGTACCATTTGAGCCACACCTCCAGCTCCACAAACGGATATTTTAATTAACAAGGCTATTAAAGCTGCAATAAAGTATGTTCTCAGTGAATAAAATGATAGGCAATCTCAATAGAAAAGCAAATGATTTTTGAAGTACAGAAGTCCTTAAAATTAAAACAAATATATAATAACTGCCAGGCACTGGTGGCTCACACCTGTAATCCTAGCTACTCAGGAGGTAGAGATCAGGAGGATCGCAGATCAAAGCCAGATGGGGCAAATGATTCGAGAGATCCAATCCTGAAAAAATCCTTCACTTTAAAAATTAACTGAATGAATTTAACAGCAAAAGAGAAGATACTATAACAATCAATGAGTCAGAAGGCAGACCAATAGAAATTATCCAAGCAGAAGAACAGATGGAAAAGAAAAGAATAGTTGGGTGCAGGTGGCTCACCCCTGTAATCCTAGCTACTCAGGATGATCTCACTTTGAAGCCATCCCTGGGCAAATACTTCATGAGACCCTATCTCAAACAAAACAAAACAAACCTCATCACAAAAAAAGGGCTGGCAGAGTGGCTCAATGATATAGTACCCACCTAGCAAGTACATGAGGGTTAAAACCCCATACTATCAAAAAAATATATATATATATTTAAAACAGAATTACTGGAACTATAAAGATGCAAAGAGGGACGTACCTCAGGAAGGTCAAGGCTAGTGTTCACTGGCACCCACTGGACGTGAGAGAAGGGCCACTGGTTTGCTAAGAGAAGAACTGGTTCATAGCGGAGCAAGAATCAACCCCTGCCACAGTCATCTGAGGCTGGGGGCAGGTGCTTAAGGAGTACAGGGACACCACCTGTGTGCCTACACCTGTAGGCACAAGGCCTGAGTGCTCAGTGCCCACGTGGGGAGGAGTCCAGGAAACACAGCTTGGGACTCAAGACTGGTGTGCAGATGCCCAGGGACTGGAGCACTGCAAGTGCTCACAGTGCACAGTGTTCACATAGGTCACACACAGAGAACCCCCTTTGGGGAGCTAAAGAGCTGAGTTGGTGAGCAGAGGGAGATGGTTGCTGCTGTAGGGGCACAGAGTCCTTTCCTGGAGGGTTGTGAGATAAGCCATCCAGGATACTAGTGAGCCAAGGTGGGCAGGGACAATTGGAGCTGCCTCAGCTGCAAGGCGTGGAGTATGCAGCATCAGTGACAAGATGGCCCCAGCAAGGTGGTCACCGCACTTAAGACTATATCTGGGAAGTTGCCTGGCTAAGGAGTGCCTCTTGGCATACAGCTGGAACACAGCACCACCAGATCTGTTCCCTACATAATCACTGCACAGGAACCCAAGCAGGAGCAAGGAAAGATAACACTGGAGCACACTGGAGCAGGAGACTTTCTTCCTCAGTGTCCCTCCAGTGCCCTCTACTGACGAAGCTCAACATTGCATTCACTGAAAGAGAGAAATGCTAATCCAGCCTTCTTGAAGGGTGAGTTATGGACTGAGGAAATGTATTGATAGGGGCTGCGCTAGAAAACCATGAAATACTAGAAATTAAGTAATACAGGTAAAGGAGGAAAATTATAAAATGCTTTGAACGAATGATATTGAACATCTAGATCATATAAAAATGTCTGTGCTACAGTTTTTATTAGAAAAAAAGGAAGATATAAAATCAATGTTCTAAGGGTTCATGTTAAACTAGAAAAAGGGAAAATTAAGTAGAAGGAAAGGAGAATCAAGATAAAATAAGAAATAAGCAGAAAGTAGACAAATAATAGAAAAAATATATAAAACCAAAGGATAAATTCTAGACAGTTGCCCGTGGCTCACACCTGTAATCCTAGCTACTCTGGAGGCAGAGATCAGGAGGATCATGTTTCAAAGCCAGCCCAGGCAAAAAATGAGACCCTACCTCAAAAATACTCAACATGAAAAAGGGCTGGTGAAGTGACTCAAGTGGTAGAATATCTGTCTAGCAAGTGTGAGGTCCTGAGTTCAAACTTCACCAAAAAAAATCCTCCCAAAATGAAACAAAAAACCCTCAAATATTAGAAAAGAAGAAAGGTGGAGCTGGAGGTGTAGCTCATAATAGAGTATTTGCCTACCATGAGCGAGGACTTGGGTTCAAATCCCAGTATTACCAAAATAAATAAACACATAAAGACTAAAGGCTAGAAATGGTGAACTCTAAATTTTCACCTTGAAAAACAACACAAAATATGTTTGTAATCCCAGTTATTCAGGAGGCAGAGATCAGGAGGATTGCTGTGTGAGGCCAGCCTGAACAAAAAGGTACATAGCCAGAAGTGCTGGTACAGGCCTATAATCCCAGCTACTTGACAGGCAAAGGTAGGATGATTATAGTCTAAGGCTGGCCCCAGGGCAAAAACTCAAGATCCTATCTGAGAAGCAAAGCATAAAAGGGCTGGCAGTGTGGCTCAGGGATAGAGCTCTTGTCTAGCAAGTATGAGAGCCTGGATTCAATCCCTCGTACTAAAAAACATACAAAAAACCCCATTAATGATGAAATATCAAACACTTCCCCCTGAGATTAGGAATAAGACAAAAGTTTGATCCCCTGCACCAAAAATTAAAAAAGGAGAAAGATAAGAGTATCTGTTATCATGCTTCTATTCAACATTATACTGGATGCTTTAGCCAGTGCAATAAGGCAAGAAAAAGGAATTGAAGGTATAGGGATTGAGAAAGATGAAATAAAAATGTCTTTATTTACATGACCTGCCTGGAACGAGGGGGGGAAGGGGGAAAGGTCAGGGAGGAGGGCAGGGGGAAGAAATGACCCAAACAATGTATGCACATGTGAATAAATGATTTTAAAAAGTCTTTATTTGTTGATAATGTGATAATGCATTAAAAATAATCTATGAAAGCTTATTAGAAATAATCAGTATAACAAAGTCATTGGATGTTAGGACCAGCAGTTGGCCATGGGCTTTAAGAGTCCCTGCACATTCTTGCAAATGACCCTGAAAGGCTCTGACATCAAGCACATAGGCAAAATAAGTCAGTCAAGGTGACTCTATGACTGCACTGAAATTTCTCCCTTGGGGCTTAGTTTTGTTTGCCGCTTGCTAAAAGAAAATTGCTGAGGCCTTGGCCCTGGGCTTCTTAGCTCCAGGCAAAACCAGTTGTGTGTACCACCATTTGGGTCCACTTGGCGGCAGGGGACCAGGCTGCTATACTCAGACTCTTGATGTTTGCTGTGCTGTGATTCGGTTTGAGTGCCCATTTTTGGCACCTATAAAGTTGTGGCACACGACGTAGGTCAGCAACCTTTTTCTTAAAGAGCTATAAGACTGTGAGCCATATGGTCTCTCTTGCAGCTCTTTAACTTTTCACTGTAACATGAAAGTAGCAATATACACTATGTAAATATTACCCTCCCCCCAAAAAAACCCAAAAATCTTATTTCCAAAACCAGCCAAGGCCAACCTTCCACATGAGGCTCAAAGCAGGAACTTGGTCAATGGCTCTTGTCTAGTAGGTAGTGGAGATGGAGGTGCAGGATCCCTTTCCACCTCCTCACCCTGCTCTATACTTTGCTAGAGGGATCCTAAAAGCGCTCACTGTTCTCCTGCTTGTGGTTAAGATCTGCCAGTAGGTTGGCAGGGTGGCTCAAGTGGTAGACAACCTATCTAACAAGCATGAGGTCCTGAATTCAAACCACAGTACCGCCAAAAAAAAAATATTCCTTGATATGATTTTGACTGGAGGCATGGCTCAAGAGGTAGAGTGCTAGCTTTGTAAGCATGAAGCCCTGAGTTCAAACCTCAGTCCACACACACACACACACACACACACACAAATTAAAACATGTTACATCCTCTCACAAGGCACTGATGAATAAAACTACTACTAATAAAAAAAGATTTGCTAATGGAAGGCAAGCAGAGATCATACGTAGTGGAGGAGAGGAGAGAAGATGGAGGTGGGGAGCCCTGGTGGGAGGCTCTCAAGGTCCTTAGTCTCTCCAGGTTCAAGGCGTTGCTTCTGCCTCTTCCCCTTAAATCCTGGAAGTAACAATTACTGCCCTACTCACACCGCAACTAGCCGGGGCATAGCACTTTTCTTTTCGGGACGGTTTGAACTCAGGGCTTCGCACTTGCAAAGCAGGCGCGCTACCACTTAAGCCACTCCGCCAGCCCCATAGCACTTTTCCTAAAAAGTAATTCTCCTCAAATTATCCACCGAGAGTTGCCATCTGTTGCCTGCCTGCCTTGTCCCGGCTGACCTCCCTGAGGGTGGTCCTTTCTTTTTTCATCCCCTTTCCCGCGGCTACACAAGTTTAGTGTTCCGAATCTCAAAGGAGGTTCAAAGCTTAGCTCACCCGCCTTCTCTTGGAAACTTGCTTCATTTTCCACCATTTGGGAGTACTTTGTACCCTCAACTTCCCCTACAGTTTCTGGGTCACGTGCCGATCACGTTTTACCTTTCCATGTTTTTATTGATTTGTGCTCCTGAACAGGACACACCATTTCCGACTCATTTTGGTGTCTCTAACAGGATCCTACAAATCAGCCGCAGGAAAGACCAGGGCTGAGCCCACCCCGCACTGGCTGAGACCGTTAACAGAAAAGCGAACCGCGGGCTAGAGCCAGTCCTCTGGTGGCACTGCCACACTGGCCGCTTCGGCTCAATGCCCTTTACCTTGGGGCTCAGGGAGGCCGAGGGCTGTCCCTGAACTCCGGTCCTGCTGAGCATGGCTTTGTAGGCGGCCACTGTTTTTTTATGGGCTGCGATAGCCGACATCCGACTGAAGATCGCGTGTTACCCAACCCCACCCGCGCGCATGCGCGATCTGTTCGCCGTCGCCCGAGCCCGGGGTAACCATAGAGAGCCGAGCGCGGGCGGGCAGAGAGGCAAGAAGTCCGGCCGCTCTGTCCTCCGTTTCCGGTAGCGCCTCGCTGCTTCGGGAGCGGCTGCTGCCGCGTACGCAGTTTCCATGGGGACTGAAGATGGCGCCGCGAGGTGAGATTCTGGAGGTGTGTGAGTCGCTGGTTCTTATCCCATCAGTACTTCCAGTCCCTTCATCTCCCTTCTATCTCAGAGCTCGACCTGAGCCGTCCCTTCTCAAGTGTTAAGGACGTCGCTCCTCGCTTGTTCAAAGCGCGGTTTCGCCGCCCCGCCCACCTTGAGTGCTTGAAGATCTCGAGGTGCGGGTGTCAAATACTGTACCCCTAAATCCTTGGCAGGGCCTCTTCTGGGATGGCTAAATTATGAATATGCTGACTCGGACAGGCCAGCGCTGCTCTCCACGCCCCAGTTTTCCTTACCGAGTAGGGACGGGATTAGATCTTGAGGTGCCTTTCAACTGTGACGACCTGGGTCACCTCTCGATTTTCTTCCCGAAGCCAAGAGTAGATTTGATAGTGTTTCCTGGGAAGGAAGGAGAGGAAGGAAGCCCCCTCCACACCACACGCCACATCCCCACCGCCTCATTCTCAGCAATCATAAGAACCGACAGTGGCCTGCCCCACTGGCCGCGACCTTGTGTTTTCTCCCGTTAGAGACAGAACCGTACAAGAAACAGCTTGAGCTGTCCTCTCCCCCATCCTACTACTCTGTGCTGTCTTTTCAGGCAAACGATTGTCTTCAACCCCTCTGGAAGTCCTGTTCTTTCTCAATGGGTGGTATTACGCTACCTATTTCCTGTTGGAACTCTTTATATTCCTGTATAAAGGTAAGGCTGGGGCTTGACTGCCCCCGTCCCAACATTCTTATTTAGTTAGTTATTTAGTTATTTATTTATTTTGGTGTTTTCGGAGTTTGAACCCAGTGCCTAGTGCTTCCTAGGCAGGCAGGCACTCTGCCACTTTAACCACACCCCAGCTTATTTTTTATTCCTTACTGACCCACTGAAGCTCCTCTGCACTGCAAGGCAGAAGTTTCTCCATCTGATGCCTTCTCTGAGACTGATTCAGAGAATCAGTAGCAAGCCCCTCAACAAGAATTTCTTGAGTTTGGGAAAAGTGGTCTTCTCCATTCTGATTCTTCCCCCTCCCTCTCTTTGCTGAACTCCACTTTAAACCCATTGGTGACTCTCAGAAGCTATTCAGTGGCCTGTGTACACTTGTGTATCCAGTTATGTGGGGGAGTGGAGTCCCCACAGACTTAGGAGTGAAAGCCTGCCTCCAGCAGCCATAGTGCTGTGAGTGCAGATATCCTGCTGCTTTAACAATGCCCACAGCTCACTAGCTAGTTCATGGAAAGCTAAGACTGTTGTCCTATTTTTCTCTTCCTGTGTGGCAGTTCTTGTGGAATCTATAAGTTATATGTTGTTTGCAGACTCTGGCTTCTGTATTGGCAGGTCTCCTGCTGCCATACCCAACAGCCAACCTAGTCCTGGATATGGTGATGCTCCTCCTTTATCTTGGAATTGAAGTAGTTCGACTGTTTTTTGGTGAGTGTTGTCCAGACAACGTTTCCATTTCTTATGGAACAAGCAGGTATCTGTAACTTGACTAAGAAGACAAAGTGTATAACCTAGGCTCATTATCAGAAGTTGGATCTTCTGGTATATTCCGTTACTTTCTCTCTGAAGCTTCAAGCTGCTGCTTGCTATTTTGTGTCAAGATTTACCTATGTGTTGCTCTTCTGTAGGGTCAGAGGTGGGCAGTAATGTATACCTGGTTCCTCTCACTGGTTTACGTGGGAGAATAAATTCAGTTGTAATTCTGTGTCCTGTGCTGAACTAAGATCCCCTGCATTTCTCTCTAGTCCAAGTTGTTATTTTTTTTTCCCCCTCAGTACTAGGGTTTGAACTCTGGGCCTCAGGCTTGCAAAGCAGGTTTCTATCACTCGAGCCATGCCTCTAATCCTAGCCTAAGTTTTATGTCCTCAAAAATACAGAGTAAAACCCTGTTTAGTTAGAATAGCTCCTTTCTGAAAACAGGATTAAAGCACAAACTAAAAATACTTGCAACACTTACAGGAATGGAAAAGAAGGCTCATGTATGTCATTAAGGAAAAGATGAAGCAATTTGAAAAATTGATAAGGGACACAAATAGTCATTTCACATAAGAGTAATTATAGAGAATGAATAACTTCACAAGGGGTCCAAACTCAGTAATAAAAAGCAAACTGAAACAATATTTTTTCACCTATTAGACTGGCAACAATAAAAAAGATTTATAGTATTTAGTATTAGAGAGGGTATGGTGAACACATGTTTTATATACTTTATATCTTCTAAAATCAGTTTCAGTATTAGTTGAAAAAATTTCATCACACACACACACACACACACACACACACACCCACACCCACCCACACACACACACACACAGTTGAGACAGTGTCTTGCTTGCTATATAGCCTGGGCTGGCCTCAAGCTCACAATCTTCCTGCTTCAGCTTCCTGAGTACTGGAATTACAGATGTGCACTACCATGCTCTGGTTATATATTTAAATTTTTTTTTTTCGGTTGTAGGGCTTGAACTCAGGGCTTTCACCTTGAGCCACTCCACCAGCCCTCTTTTTGTGAAGCGTTTTTCAATAGGGTCTCGTGGAACTATTTACCCAGGCTGGCTTTGAACCACGGTCCTCCTGATCTCTGCCTCTTGAGCAGCCAGGATCACAGGTGTGAGCCACTGGTGCCTGGTGAATTAATTTGTTTTTTGGTGGGACTGGGGTTTGAACTCAGGGCTTCGCACTTGAAAAGCAGGTGCTCTACTGCTTGAACCACACCTCCAGTCCATTTGCTCTGATTATTTTGGAGATGGGTCTTGCATACTATTTGCATGGGCTGGCCTCAAACTTAGATCCTCCTGATCTCAGTCTTCCAAGTAGCTGGAATTACAGGTGTAAGCCACCAGCACCCAGCTTTATAATTAAATTTTTCCCTGCAAAGAACAATCTTATGGTTCCTTGGGTGGGAGCCAGACTGGAAGCAGGACCTCTGGAGACAATGATTCCTATCCTGTAACTCCCCCAAAGCCTCAGATTTGAAGTACAATAGAACCCTACTTATCAATGTGCACCTCTCCATTCAGGATTGTTTTTCTCTATTCACAAGTCTGTCACATCTCACATACCTTTCCATTGAGGCCAGGGAAAGTAGACCACTTGGTGACTCTATGGGCTGTATCTGACAGGTACAAAGGGAAACCTCTGCCAGCGAAAGATGCCACTTGGCATCAGTGTGGCCTTGACCTTCCCATCTGCCATGCTGGCCTCCTATTACCTGCTGCTGCAGACCTACGTGCTCCGCCTGGAAGCCATCGTGAACGGCATCTTGCTTTTCTTCTGTGGCTCAGAGCTGCTGCTTGAGGTGCTCACCCTGGCTGCTTTCTCCAGGTACCACTGTAGAGGACTGGGTTCCCATCCAGGGAGGGGTGCTTTATTCTGTAGAAGTTCCAGGGGTCTAGAGGGCAGCTAGGGGGTGTCTGTCGATTGCCTTTCCCATGTTTAGTAGGTACAAAGTTTCCTCTTAGGGAAGATATTCTTCTGCTTCTTTGGGACTAAGAGACTTAGAATATGGAAAAGGTTAGGCCAGAGGCTCTTGTTCACTGGTCTTTTAACATTTCCTTTTTCTTTCTGTTGTCAGTATGGACAGGATTTGAAGTACAAAAATTTCAACCTGCAGCCCATTCGGCTGACACCACACATATTTCTGGTGTTTTAGCTATACCCATGAGAAGTGGTGGGTGAAGTTGACCTGGGAAAGGTTGTGCAGCTTTGCCTCAGCACAGACATTTGGGCAGTCAGCCTGCCTAAGGCCAGTGGGCATTATCTTCTAGACCTGAGCATCAGCCTGAGACACTCTTCACTCCAGTACAGGGAGGGGAAAGGCTATTCCCATCCTGGCCCTTCTCAGAACAGTTTCCTGCTGACCTCAAGTTCTTGATCATCATGGCCAGAACATCTTGTGTGGACCATCTCGGCTCCTTGGGCTTCCAGAAGGACCTGAGCCATATGCTTCCAGTATGTGCTCTGCTGCACCTGCCCACAAGGCCCTGAAAGCCTTGTGGCGCTAGGCTCCTGGAGTGAGGCAAAAGCCTGTTATCCCTTTGCTTAAGGACACTCAGTTCCAGAACCTTCTTAGTAGCTCATAGTATTATTTTTCTATTCTGATCATGAAGCAAACACTACTTTGTAATAAATATGTATTTTCTGTTTTGGGGGTAGCAGCCTTTTCCTTATGGCAACTGTCCACAGAATTTTATCTCCTCGTCCAAGAGAGGATTGGGACCACAGTATATCATCTATTCCTCCAAGAGAGGATTGGGACCATTCCACAGTCAGTGTTCCCTGACTGTGCTTAGTGATACGCCACAAAGGCCGTGATGAAGGTGTCTCACTGATTTTCTTCCCAAGGCTTTAGAATGAATTAATCCCAAAAGGCATTGCTGTCTTTTTTGTCTTCTCCAGGTCTGTCATCTGCAAAAGACTTGAAAAGTTCCACCTCTGCTCCAAAGTCTGCTTCTTGTCTCTCATTGCCCTTACAGATAATTATCAGTCATTTCCAGGGTGGGCCATTTGTATTTGGAAGAATCATATTCTAAACTTAACCAAATGTTTCGCTTTTTTTGTTTAAGTTTTGAGTTAACATAAAAGGAACACATGTTTTTTTTTTAACAGCTGGAAAATGGTACACTAGATGGTGTGTAATTTCTTTCTCTAAGTAGCCATTTTTAGAATTATTTCACATCTTGCTTGGTATTGAACATGTTTTTTAGCCCCAAGAAGCCAGCAGGAGTTAGGAATGACAGCAACCACTTTAGGAAACCTGGAGTCCCCCCTGTCTGCTGTCAAGATGAATCCTGGAATGTCTTCTGCCCTTACTCAAAGTATACTTTGCCTTTAAGCTCAAGCTTCTTATGCTACTTTATCATTTCTGTTTTTTTTTTTTCCTTTTCTTTTTGGTTGTACTGGGGTTTGAACTCATGGCCTTATACTTTCTAGGCAGGCACTCTACCACTTGAGTCATCTGCCCTGAAATTAGGTTTTTTTTGGTGGGACTGGGGTTTGAACTCGGGGCTTTGTGCTTGCAGAACAGGTGCTTTTCTGCTTAAGCCAACTTCCAGTCCACTATGCTGGTTTCTTTTTTTTTTTTTTTTTTTGGTGGCACTGGGGTTTGAACTCAGGGCCTCATGCTTGCTAGGCAAGAGCTCTACCACTTCAGCCACTCCACCATCCATTTTTTTTTTTTACGATTTTTTTTTTTCAGGATAGGGTCTCACAAAGTATTTGCCCAGGCTAGCATCAAACCATGATCCTCTTGACTTCTGCCTGCTGAGTAGCTAGGATTACAGCTGTGAGTCATTAGCACCTATGCTGGTGTTTAGTTTTTGTTTTTACTGTGGTCAGGCTCATTGTCATCCTGTGGACTTCACTGATGCTTTTTCTTGTTTCCTACTTCCCTGTGCCCTTGACTCCTAGCTGCCCTTGGGTCTATCCAAAAATGCTGCTGGACAGATCTAATCAACCATGAAACAATAACAAAAAGTCCAGTAGGTGTGTCACTGGTATTTCAATCACAGATCTCATGAATACCAATTTCCTGCTGCTTTTCACTGTTGCTTTGAAGTAATCATTGGCATCAAACTGGAGGGGAACCTGTTCTTCACAACCTCAGTTTTATTCAGAGGTTCAGTGGTTATGGCCATCCTCCCAACAGCACAGATAAATGAATGGAAAGTTCAGTTGGAAATGTAGCAGTGGCATATAAAATTTAAAATATTAGAATTCACAGGGCCCTTAGACATGAATGAAGTCAGAGGTCAGGAGGTAACACAGCACCCCACAACTGGTTACTGACAGGTGGAACTAGAACCTTTGTCTTACAAGTCTTAGTCTAGATCAAGTGAATTCCAATTCTCAACAGGTAACACTCAAGGATTGACTGTGAATAGAAGTCTTTCGTGGTTACGTGGAAGTTTAGTCCATTGTTTCCCATGGGTGGCTCCATAAATGTCTGTTTTGCTTGGTGCTGTTGACACTTTCTATCTGTGTAGACAGTTAGTTACACCAGGGTAGAACATTATGCAACAGAAACCAAGGCAGTGGCTGGACATGGTGGGTGTGCATCTGTACTCTCAGCACTTGGTGAGGGGTCTGAGGTAGGAGGATTGTGAGATTGAGGTCAGCCTGGGATATGTGGTCTCACACACAAAAAAAGAAAACCAAAGTAACGAAGGGCAAGAAGTCTTCTGTTTGTTTTGAGACAGGCTATCCTCAAAACTCACGATCCTCTTGCCTCAATCTCTCAAGTGCTGGAATTATAGGTACACTATCACACTTGACCAGTCTTTTTTTTAGAGGGGGATTTGAACTCAGAGTCTCATGCTAGCTATGCAGGCGCTCTTACTGCTTTAGCTACTCTCCCTCAGACAGTAAGTCCTTGTGTGGCCAGAAGCTATGCTCATTGGAGTGTGAGGCAAACCACTTTACAGAATGTTGGAGGTGCCTGTAATGAGAAGGCCTGGTCATACAAGCTGGCAAAGTCCTGCTCAGCCACTCACACAGCTAGAACTGGCAAGTGACCTCAGTGATCATCTTGTGGGCTGATGTCTGGCTCAGTTGAAAAAGCATTTAGGACACCAAGATTCAGGTTTCTGGTTCTAGGCTCTAGCAGCAACCAAAATTCATCCAGTGCCTAGCAGATGATAGTTAACCTATACACTGATCCTGTGGGCAGAAAGAAATCCACTTTAGTATCCAAGGGCATTCAGTTTAGAAATAGAAAATTGGGATTTAAACTTGGAGGTAACCTATGTCTTTTCTTCACCATAGTATGTTGAATGTATTGTATTTCATTTGAGCAGTCAGCATGTCTTCTGGGGCATCAAAAGCTGATGTCCAGACCTTAAGTAGCTCAGTAGATGAGGAGCAAGCTTTTTTTTTTTTTGAGATAGGATCTCTCAAACTATTTTCTCTGGGCTGGCTTCGAACCTTCATTCTCCTAGTATCTGTTTCCTGAACAGCTAGGATTACAGGCGTGAGCCATGGGCACCCAGCAGAGGCAGGCATTTTTTAGCAAACGTGGCGGGTAGCTGAGATGCAACTGACCATGGAACCCAACTTGAAAACACTTGTTTAAACTGAGAGGCACTCTTTTTCTTCCTCCCCTGAAAATTTCATAGTCCTAACCCCTTGCCTGCTAAAGGTTGTTTTTTTCACTGATCTTCCCTTTCCTGATACCAGTACACATTATCATCATGTGGTCTGTGATTCATCTATCATCTAATCTAACGCTTTTTCTTTGGTAAGAGTGACTTAGCTTCATTTCTTTGGCACCTTCAGTACTGGCTGCTAAAACAAGATGTGAAGCTATATGGTGGATTGTATTATCCAACTACCTGATTCCAAAAATGCCAAGATTCCTTCATTCAAGTTCAGGCAACAAGTGGGTTTTAGGGACCAGCTTGCCTTACCAGGTAACCATGACCTGCTGGTACTTGAACTCATTATATTTGTCCAAATAGCAAATTTATTTGTGAGACATGACTGCTTTACCTGCAGGCCTTCAACTGTTTCCAACCCACCTCACCTTTTTTTTTCTGGGTGTAGGGGGCAGTTGTGGGGTTTCAACTCAAGGCCTTGTTTGCTAAGTAGGTGCTCTATCACTTGCTTTTAAATGCCAGCTTTCTGGATACCAAACAGCACTGTACTAAGCTGTACTTTTTCATATTTAGATAATTCAGTTCATAGAACACATTCACATCTGTTAACTCATTCCTGAAACAACCCTGTGTGAAGGCAAAATAGCAGTTTTCATCTTCCAGGTAAGAGCCTGGGAACATGGCTGTCCATGGCTAAGTAGATGAAGGAGCTAAGTGCTCCCATTCAAGTCTTCTACCAGATGGTTTTTCCTGAACTGGATGCCTTTGGAACTGAACTGTACAAGGTAGGACATGTGCTCTTTAAGTCTTAGGACTCTTGAATGGTAAAGGATGGCTTGGAAGCTTTAACTAGGCTGGTTAGTGAACTAAGAAAAACCACTAACCCTCAAGGGGTACTTCTAAAAGGTTCACACAGAGGTTTCTTAAGAGGCTCACCACTCAGCTGCTGATGTGGAGAAAGTTACCCAACATGCAGTTCTACCTAAGAGCTTGTTTTCCCTACCATTCCAGTGTCTACATCAGCCCACACCCGTGCCCTCAACAAATCTATTCAATGCAGAATCCGTAAAACAGCTCACACCCCATTTATTATTTAAAAATATTCTGTTACAAAAGGAAAAAAATACAATGCAGTATAAAAGATTGACAGCGTCATCAAGTTTATTACACAATTTTCAACCTATCAGAAAGACAAACAAATCACCGACAACAGGGGGACGGGGCCTTGGCCTTTTGAGGGTTTTTTTTTTTTTTTTTCTTTTTTCCCTTTTGCTATCAGGAAAAAAAAAACTAAAAATTGTGTCATTGAGTAAAAACAAAACAAATATGGGGAGAAAATAATTCTCCAGGTAAACGGCTTTTCTGATATTCTATATATTGTTTTTCTTAAACTGTCACCTTACTTGGTTTTTCTCTACATTTTAAAAAGACACCCGGAGCTGCTCTCGAGGATAAGCACGTCACTGAACACTTGGCTGGTTGGACAGGGTGCCATGTTCTGAAGTGGAGGTGGGGATGGGGTTGGGGACGGGAAAAAAAGCTACAATTTGTAGCCTCTGTCCCAAAGGAATGTGCCTCTTCAACCCTAGGGGGACTCCCTCAGTGACTGAGGGGTGTATCAGAAACGCGCTGGGAGCAGAGGAAGGGTTGTTCAGTCCAATTCAGTCTCTCCCCTCTGAGTCAGCAGGGTCTCCAGTAACCCTGTCTCACATGCCAATCTCATCTCACATGCCATGACTTGTCATGTTGTATATCATATGCCCTGTAGATGCACACACAGAAGTAGCATTGTGCATGGGTAATGCAGGACCCTGTTCCTGTTGCCTCTTTCAGCAACGATCACATTACAATCTGGACATTATGGGAAAAGCAATTTCCATTTGCCTGTAGAAAATGACCCCCAGAGTGCTGGTCCTTAGAACTCTGAGCTGAGTTCATTCAAGTCAGGCTCCATTTCTTCCTTGCTCCTTGTCAGAGGCAGGAAGTACCTCCAGGCAGAAGGAGGGGAGGTATTAAGTCAACAGTCAAAAGGTGGAAAGACACCAAACTTGTGACTTTACCTGCCTACTAGTGCTGAGTTATCCCACAGTAAGTCAAAGTATGTACCTGGGAGATGCAAGCCTGTGCTTACATCAAACCTGAAGAAAAGAGCCTAGGGAAGTAGGCCACATTCTGCCCAAGTTGCCTCCTTCCCCACTCCTCCTAGTACTTCGCTAGAGCTCTTCATTGCTGAGGTCCCAACATCCCCATCTCCCAATGGCAGTACCTTCCTCTAAAACAAGGAAGCAGCCCTCTTGGGAGAAGGGCCCCATGTGTTAAATGGAAAAGCCTCAGAGAAAGGGAACACTTTAAGAGTTGGTATGGTAAGAAGCAATCAAGCACTAAGCAGCCAGAGGGTGGTAACTGTTTGGCCTGCCTTCCCAGATGAAAGCAACCTCTTAGGCTGCTCTGCTTTGTAGGGGCAGTTCCCTGGGGAGCTTGGGAAGCAGGGAGTCAAAAGGGTTCAGCCCTCTGGGAGGTCAAGGAAATAAACCGTCAATATGTGAGGGGAAAACCAAGAACAGTAGCTTTTGAAAAGGTAGTTTCTGTTCTTATGGTCCCTCCTTAAAGGGCTGAGAAAGTAAAGGAGTTAAAGAAAGAAGTGGGATGTTAGTAGAGGTTCACACCCTCTTGGCCCCACCAAATCTAGTGCTGAGGGCAGGACCCTGGGCATATTTTGGCACACCCAGTCACTCTCCTAGATCCTGCATGGAGGACCCATTTTCTTTGGGAAGGAGTCTTCCCATCAACCTCACCACTGCATGCTTCTGGAAAATTAGAAACTCATACATTTCCTTGGACAAAGCACCATTCTCTATGGAGACCAGGGGCCTGGACATGTTGCTTTCTTCCTGTCTACCACCCCCTCCCACCAGCCACATGAAGTCTTTAAGTTTTTTCCCCTGGCAAACAGGAGGTATGGGATTGGGAGGGCTGCCAAGCCATCTTCAATCCTATAGGGCAGAGGGTATTGCCTGGGTGTCTGGAGGGAGTTAGGGGTTTGGAGGAGGGGGAAGGGGTGGAGCGGCCTCCGTCCTTTAGTCCTGATCAAGGTGAGGAGATGCAAGTCCATTAAAAAAAAATTGCTTCCAACCAAGATTCCTGTAATGAGAACATCAGAAGAGAAAGAAAACACAAGTTAGAGGCTACTTTTCTGACTGGCAGGGGCTTATATGAAATATACTAGCATTTTCTTAAATTGCAACAAAAGAATTAGGGGACATGGGAAGTAGAAAAAAGTACACTGTCTGACAATGAGTAGTGGTGAGGGAATAGGTGGAGAAGCTACCCATTTTTTTTTTTTTAAACAAAAAAATAGTGACATCTTTAAGATTGGGGGAAAATACAGACAATGGAATGAGGTTTCTGAAAGCAGTTTGAAAAGATCTTGGCTGTGAAAATATGTAAACCATAATGCTTCAAGAAAAGTTGCTGCAAGGGAACACATACTGTTTTAGAAAATCTATTTTGATAGTGATAGCTTACTTTTAAGGGGAAAGAAAGAAATCTGGAAATGGGAGGTACATGGTAAGAAAAGAAGTACGTAGGATTGGCAAAGTGGCTCAAGTGGCAGAGCGCCTGCCTAGCAAGTGTGAAACCCTGAGTTCAAATCCCACTACCGCCAATACATAAGACAGATTAAAAAAAAAAAGAAGAAAATAAAACAAGTTATATATACAACCAAATCTATCAACCCCCAAACACCCTCAAGGCCCTAGCAGGTAGCATGCACTTCCACAGCAAATCCCACTACCTGTTTTCTTTTAAAGAGCTCTGGTTGAAAAAGATCCAAGCAGCATGCTTATGACTAAGTGTGAACATAGACAGCACTAGAGCTTTTCGAAGTTGTACTAAAAATCAAAAGATTTTAAGTCTTTCCCTAGATAATAGTGGTGGGCGAGAAACCAAGAAGTATATGAATACCAAGTAAGAATGACTTGGCCAGGCCAGAACAAAAAAGCACAGTATGGAAGGAAAAAAAATAATCAGTAAGTAGACACCCTGAAGGAGACCTAACAGCATAGTCAAGAACCTTTACCCAATAGTAAGGGTCTGTTAAGCCACTTGGTCACATCACTAGCCAAACTTAAGGTACACAGTACACTAAGCCCTTGTTAAGATGTTGTGCTGCTATATCAATTTGCAGATGGTAATGTGGTCAGTTTGACCATATAAAACTAATAGTCAAAAGGACAGGAGAAAACTAAATTCAGACTGTGTCACTCATGCTGAAACTGGCAGCACAGCCTACACACAAATGCTCACCCTTTACAGATACACTTCTATAAAGAGACCTTATAAAACCTGGCTATCCAAGGGGAAAAAAAAAAAAAAAAAGACGTTCTCTTACTGCCTGATCCTCTAACCCTGAAATGGTACTAACTACTTTCAGCTAGGAAAGGATCTGCCTTGCTAGCTTCTTTAAACACCTGGGTAGACAAGCATTTGTCCTTTTTTTTTTTTTTTTTTTTTGCGGTGCTGGGGTTTGAACTCAGGGCCTACACTTTGAGCCACTCCACTAGCCCTTTCTGCAATGCGTTTTTTCAAGGTACAGTATCACGAACTATTTGCATGGGCTGGCTCTAAATCGCCATCCTCCTGATAGCTAGGATTACAGGCTCGAGCCACCACCACCATATTCTATTAAAGGAAACCTCAAACATTCTCCCTATTTCATGCCATTCAGGTTCTTTCTTTTTTTTTTCAAAAAGACAGGATCTCACTATGTAGCCCAGGCTGGCCTTGAACTTTCGATTCTCCACTTCAGTCTCTGAGTGCTGTGATTATAGTTACACATCACAACTGGCTCTGGCAGTTTTAAAGCACAAGTAACAGGGCAACTGCTCTAGCTCAAAACAAGAGTTAATGCTACTACTTACAGAAGAAGTGGACCATGACTACTAGTGCCTTCTTTTTGCTCACTCCCTAAGACTGAACCAGGCCAAAGCATTTGTGGGTTCCATATGCCTCTGCCTTGCCAGAGGCTATGTGGGCATCTCCCAAAACTCAAATGTGTTGTGAAATCTGTAAAGAAGTATCCAGAACTCACAGTCTAACTTTTGGCTCTATGTCGGTTAAACTAGACTTCAGTGTCATCAAACATTCTATGATTTTATGGAATAAAGGAGTGGTTAAAAAACGAGAGAGGAAGATAAAAATATTAGCAACTCTTCATCTTCCCATTTACTTGTCTGTTCCTATAGAAGACAAAAACAATTCCTATATATAAATCTGTTTAAATTAATGGCAGATAACGCCAAACAACAAAGTAGAGGACAGTAGCAAACATCAGAGGAATATTGCTTGTTCGTAGGTTGTCACTAGGCAAAATGCTGTAGAATTCTGTTTCAGTCTGTTGTTCATGAACTATATGGATACACAAGTGGCAACAGTTTCTATTCTTCATCCATCCATATATCCCAAACAGACCTACTGTCCTTTAGCACTTTATTTCAGGAAAACAGAACAGCAGTAGCTCCCTAGGAGTGTATACAGACTCTTCCTAGTCAGAGTCTGGCCTATTTTATGGATGGCTGCACAAACAGACCAACAACTGCTTCTCCTATGAATGATACTTGCTAGAAGCTTGCTTTCAGTTGGGATTATGAAACTGGTGGAATGTAACCTGGAATAACAGGCAACTCCTCCAAGATGGAGCCTTTCTGAGAATGAAAGCAACACAGAAAAAGGGAGGCAAAAGGCAGAACGACCAAGCTCTGCCAGCACAGCCAATGCCTGGATCCAGATGATCCTAACTTAACTTTTTAATTATCCAAGTTCATAGCTTCCTCCCAACTCTCCTGCTCCCCACCCCCAACTTTTTCTTTGCAGTGGTACTGGATTTTGAACTCAGGGTCTCATGCTTGCTAAGTGGGCACTCTACTACTGGAGCCACTCCAGTCTTTTTTTTTTTTTTTTAATTTAAAACAAAAACTGACTGAAAACAAAACATCCTTCCATTGAAGTTAAAGATCCACATAGACTCTAAAGCTAGATAGTCTAGACTCTAAAAATTAAAGATAATTTTTTTTCAGATCAGCCTTCTCTGCTCTGACTTAAGTCTCCTCTCCGATTTATCCTCAATCTTTGAAATCTTTTTAATAGATATGACTTCTTAGGTCATTAATATTGTGCCTTGAAAACTAAATAAGCAAGTCTCATTTTTCTGTCTTGATCAATCTTCCCAAACTTTTTGCTTGAAAGTTCGGTGAGATTAAAATATTTTTAAAATGGTTATCATTTATTGAAAACTTACAAAGAGGGGACAGAGAGAGGGAGAGAGGGAAGGTGGGGGGAAGAGAAGGGGGAGAGAAAGAGACAGAAAGGAGAGAGGGAAAGAGAGGGAAAATTGATTTTCACTACAAATAATCTTTCTTTCATAAAAGAACATCCTCCAGCCAGGAATGGGGCTTCTTCTCACCTTCCTCAGTGGTGGCGGTCCCGCTCTCTATCCCGATGTCTCTCGTGCTCCCGGTTCCTTTCTTGGAAATAATCATCATGCCGATCTTCATTATGAAGCAGATCCCGGTGCCTCCTGCTGCTCTCTCGGGAGCGGCTGGGTGACCTCTCCCTGGACCGATGTCTTTTCCTTTCAGAAAGATCATTCATCCTCACTCAGAGGGCATAACACATTCTTTCTAAGAGTACAGGGTTTTACTGTCTCCCAGGATTTGTCTAAACTACTCCTTTAGTCCTACTCCTCATGTACCTACTGAGGATTTTTAGCTCTTTGAGGACTAACCTTTTTTAGGAAAAGGATAATAGTTAAATTTGTTAAGATCTCACTAACGTATCAGGCACAGTGTTTAGAATTTTACATGCATTATCTGACCTATCTTTATAACAGGTCTGTAAGTATTACTAGTCCCTTAAAAAAAAAAAGATTCTTAGAAGGTGCTAACTTCCATATTCAAGATGGTCATATAGGTAGTCAGCAGCAGAACTAAGATTCAAACTCAAGCATGTAATGGCTCAAAAGACCATATTCTATTTGTGTTTATTCCCCATGATACTAAGGATCAAAGTCAGGGCCTTGGGCATGCAAGGCAAGGGCTCTACAACTGAACTACATCTTTGGTCCCCAAACCCATGTTCTTAACTATACTAGTTTTTTTTTCCCTAAATGAGCCTACTGCCTTACCCAACACAAATTCCAGATATTACAACACTTAATGAAAATGTCTCATTAACTTCCTCTCCTTAAAGACACCAGGGAGTGTCCATTCTTTCAGCCACGTCCTTGTCAGATACCCTGGGTTCCATTCCTTTCTCAACCAGTCCCCAGTAGAGTCCTGTTTAAGAGGTGGTCAGCTGCTGAAGCAACCATCAACTTACCTGGAAGAGCTTCCACTGGCACCCACACTGTAGGACTTGGCTTCAATGCCATGAAGACAGTCCTTAAGAGAGGAGATGAGGACACGGCAACGCTCATCATTGGCAACCCGGGACTGTTTGATAACTGCAATGGCTGTGAGCAGTGTCTCAATTGCGTCACTGTAATCCCCTGACAGGATGGATGGGAAAAGCCAAGGATGAGCAGAGGCAGTAGACTAACTGGATCAAAAGGAAAACTCATGACCCAAACCAAGAGTAACTATCTGTTCCAAAACCATGGTAAAATGGATGAGGCAGACATGGCAGGTATAAAATTGGATGACACCTATATTCCAGTGGTTTAGAATCTGATAGAATTAGTAGATATATAAACTGGTATATTATTGTCCAAGGGTGATTTGACAATGTGTACTACAATGAACAGTACACGTATGATCCAGCAATTCTACTAAAAATTTTCTACTTCTATTCATAGAAGTTTGTACGTTTAACAATGTTTCAGTGTTATTTGTTATAGTACCTTCAATATAGCTGGCTAGATTAAGGAACAGTGGTTCTCTAGATCACTGTATAGTTGTTGAAAGCATGAGATAAATATGTAGGGAAATAAAGTAATCCACTTGAGCTATGCCTCTAGCCCTTTTGTTTTTATTCTGTATTTGAGATAACTTTGCCTGGAATTACAGTTATGATCGACCATGCCCAGCGTGGACTTCCACTGTTTTACAGAGCATGTTCCTATAAATTACTTTTAATTTACATTCAGATATGTGCATATGTATAGACATGTAACACACATCTAAAATGTATATGTAATATACAGTGAGAAAGGGGCTGTAAGGCAATTTCATCATTGTGCAAACATCACAGAGTGTACTACACAACTAAGACAGTTATGATGTTACTAGATGAGAGAATCTTATGGGACCACTATTATATATGTGGTCTGTCTGACTGCTTGAAACATTGCCTTATGAAACATAACTGTATTGTGTGTGTATACACACATTTAAAACATTATGCAGCCATAAAAATCATTACCCATTTCATTTCCCAAATTTGAGCAATACCTAGCCACAGAGTGGGTATTTTCATATTGTTTTTCCAAGTAAGTCAAGAGCATTAAAGGTAAAAAAATCCAGGGAAAGCCATGAATCCACACAGGGATCCAGTGAAAACGAGGAGTGGAAGCTTCCTTTGTGCAAGGAAGTAAGAACAGAAGAGGAACTATGAAGGAACGGTGACCCTGTGGAGGCCTAAGATAGGTTACCTGAAAGTTACCTGCTCTGCCCAGACTCCCTAATGTAATCAGATTCCCTGACGAACCACCAACTAGTTGAGGCATCATTCCTAAAAACCCAGGGTCTATAACTGGCATAGGATCTACTACACAGACAATGGATCTAAAGTGACTATTAAGATCAAGATCTCCCTCAGGCAAGAATTTTATTCTGTAATAAATACCAAAGGGAGACGGTGTAAGTTACTCATATACTAGGTACTTAGTTGGTTTTCATAGGAGCAGATCTAGATACAGGATAAATAACACCACAAGAAGTTCCCCAAAGCCAAGAAATCAAGTTATGTACTGGTACTTGAGGTGTGCCACTCTCAATATCTAACCACGATCCAAGTTCGTTACCTTGTCGAACTTTTTCCAATGGAAATGATAAAACAAGGGAAAACCTAAAGTTAAGGGAAAGGCAGGCTGAGTAAGAGTTAGTTACCTGCACTGGCTCCAGATACCGCTTTGGAAATGGCACTGCTAGAAATTGCTCTGTTTCGCTTCATAATCTCCTCAAATTCAGCTTCGCTCACTGTAGAGGGCGGAGGGCCCGAATCTCGGCTGTAGGGACAAAATACCATTCCTGACTGCCCATTCCTCTTATGAATTTCACCATATTCTATAAAGCACTATTATTTATGTTCTACTGTAGGTATCTTTTTTTTTTTTTGGTGGGACTGGGGTTTGAACTCAGGGTTTTGCCCTTGCATAGCAAGCACTCTGCTTGAGTCACATCTCCAGCCCTATAAAGTACCTGAACTATTTCCTAGTCCATGTGTTTTATGTGTTCATCTTCTCTTCAGGATGTCATATACTTTTGGAATTTTGGCCTGGCCAACAGTGCTAGGCATAGTATTTGTAGCAGCTACTTGTATCACTCAATCAATTTTTTTCCTTTAAAGGGGATATGAAGGATATGGTCTGGGTTAAGTGATAAGATGCAAACAAAAACAAACGAAAAACACTGCTGGATAATAAATAATCTATGTCCCAGGACTTCACACTATGACAACAGTTTCCACAAGGGAAAGCACAAGCGTTCAGCGTGAACATCTTCAGAGTGAACAAAATGCTTCACACACTGTCTACCCTATTATACCTGGCTCAGATATGACGGCAACAAGGTAGTTCTTACCTGCCATGGTGGTTATAAGGTGTAGAGGCCTTCATGTAAGTATCTGGTGGAGGCCCCACTGTAGCATTTGGTTGGGGGAAGAAGGCTGGATTGAGGTGAAGGGCAGGTGGGATAGCCCCAGGGGGAGGTACAGTCAGATGAGGAGGTAATCGAGGAGGAGGGGGCATGAGATGCTGATAGTGGATGCCAGGAGGAGGAGGAGGGACCCCAAAGCTTGAGGAGAGAGGTGGTGGGGGTGGAATTGGGGGTGGGGGCAGACCCATCAGGGGAAGGGCTGAAGGAGGGCGATTGAAGTAAGGAAGCACGCTGGGGGGCTTATCCACACGAGCGGATGAGGGTACTAGGTTCTCAGAGGGTGTGGCTCGTCCATCAGCAGAATCACTAGAATCTCGGGAGTGGGCCCGTGGAGGTATTCCTACAAAGCAAAACAGCTTTATGTTACTGCTCAGGCTTTCAGACATAACGCCAGACCAGCTCATCCTTCAGTATGTCACCTGACACCACACTAAGGAAGGCAACTACAGCAGCTGAGACAGAAGGAAAAATCATTTACTTCCTTTTCTTTCACCTCAGAGAAAAAGATCAGGTGCATTTCGGTTAAGACAAACCCAAAAATCAACACCACTCTTAAGTTCTATACGTCAAAGAATGCTCTTATCTAGAACTCTTGAAATGCTTCAGAACACATTTAATTTACTCTTGGATTTTTAAATTTTTAATTGCAGTAGATCTAATAACCCAGTAAAATAAGACAATGTTGAAACATGTTCGCTGAGACTCAGCTGGATTTCAGCTGACTTGAAATCTCACAACCCCTGATGGTCTCTTTTTAGACTAGTGCTACTTGACCTTCTCCATCCTGCTATACTCTCAAAATGTTCTCTTTGCCACAGACTTCTGGCTAGGGAATTTGGGGGAAGAAAAAGAAGAGCAAGGAATGGATCCACTTTCTCTATCTACATACCCAACTGGTAATTGGAATGGGGAAGACACAGAGAGTTGATGTCTGTAGGTTAAGTGAGAGGTAAAAAGAAAAGGGGAAAGAAGTCAAGAAAAGCTCTGCCCACAGAATAAGCAGATGGTACACAGTTGAAACCAGGGACTCTTAACAAAGGCTTGGTACAAAACACATCTCAAATTTAGGGGACTCCCACAACATTTCAATGGCCTAAATTCTCTATCCCTCAGGGCAACCTACTGGGAAGATGGTTCGATAATACTAGCATGCCAATAATATGTTAACAAGGGTGTAAAACATGTTTGTATACAGTTAGAACCATGCCTCCTGATATTGTCAAGTCACCTGGTTAAACTTGCACCCCTCTCTAGTTTCATAGGCTAAGCCAGGTTAATGCAAACTCCAAAAGAACATGTTCAAATGACCTTGGGAATCTTGGAGGTAGAAAGAGGCTTAGCAAGTGTGGAGTGAAAAGAGTGCTTCTTAAACTCAAACTCTATGTTGAGGCAAGTCAGACAACCACCCTGACTTCTTTAGCACAAGATACTGCCAGTGCCTAACAGCACTCTTGTTCTTCGCATCTCAAACACATGGCAACCTACTCCTTTCTTGAGCTCTCTCAAACTGAAGAAAGGTTTGTAAGCAAGCATGTTTCTCTGACAGCTAACCACCTTCTCAGCAACTGTTCCCACATCCGCAAGGGTTGTTTTGTATCTATGGCTGCAAGTCTTCTGTGAAGTGGTTTTTTTTTTTTTTTTTTGGTGGCAGTAAAAGAGGTTTGAACTCAAGAGACTCATACTTGCTAGGTGACTGCTCTACCACTTGAGCTACATCCCCAGTCCGAGAAGCAGCAATTTTTAAGCAGAGGAAGTCCACTAGTTTTACTTGGTGAGTTAACAGAGCCCAAGTCCATCAACGTGACAGACAGAAAAAACAGCACTCATTCACCGTCTTAACACCAAGGAGTAAAAGGTCACTGGACAGAGGTAGGCAGGTTACCCCCAACGCAGCTGTAAAATATGCATCTTAGGAAAGTCAGGGCAAGGCTGAATTACAGAAAAGAGACGGAAACAAAGGGACTTGAAAATCCAAATTGTTAAGGAGGGTAAGTGTGTGCCTTTAAGTGGAGCAATGGGAGCTCAAACCACATCCACCTAGACTCTCAATCTAGGAAAAGGATAGTTGTTACTATGAAAGACAGAAGTGGCCATATTTCTACCTTGTTACACTTGATCAATACAAGGCATCACTGCTTTTAGAGTCAGACCTAAGCAGTGACAAAGTTTATGTGATTTGCCATCCCCCTACCCCCCCACTAGTAAAAGAAAAGGTGATTACCTATCTCAGGAAAGCATTTCAGAGTGGCTACACCCTGTGAGATCAGGACAATATAAGGTTTGGAACTTAGGTTTTGCAGGTTCAGAAACTTGATTTTAACAGTTTGCCAAGGGGTAATCGGACCCTAGGAGATTGATTTATGCTAACCAAATTCACAAGACACTGAATCCTAAACCAGAATGCCTATTTATTTACAATGAGAAATATAACTGTCAAGCAGACTGGAATACCTGTGTCAGCTGATTAGTGCATTCTCTTCCTAGTAAGGGAAGCTGGTTGGAAAACCGAATTAGTATCAGAAGGTGGCTTGGTGAGTACAGAGTCAAAATAGAAGGAATAACATGAATTTAAGAAATACTGTCATCAAGGTAGAACGATACATTTTTTTACAAACAGGACATACTGGTCAAGCAGACTAAAATATTCCGTAACTGAAAGTTTACCCTTTCTTCAGGACAATGCTGGAGAAACTGTTAAATTCTTATTCTTCAACATTTCTTTTGGTTGACTCTTTACAGAGTACCTTTCCAATATATACTCATAACAAGATTACAAGCATCTTTGTATATCTAAGAGTGGCTGCTTCTAACAAGTAAGCCCATTCATGGTGCCAATTTTTAGGTAAAAATACAGAATTTAGAATTGGCAAGAAATTTAGACATAATATATATACAGCAGGTGGGGAAATAGGCCCTGAACAGTAAAGTGACTTGCCCAAGGCAACACAATGAGTCAGTGCAGAACCCAACTGAACTTACCTGACTCCCAGTGCAGTGCTCTTTTTTCTACACAAATCTCACTTTTTGGCTTACCCACTGATCATGCCACCACTGATAAACCACCAGTCCCCTCCTCCAAACTCCCCCACGCTACAGAAGACAAGCCCACAACCCTCCCCCCTTCGTACAGATGGTCTCCACGTACCCCCTCTTGGGACTCGGACGCACTCACGTTTCCGAGCCTGTGCCTCAAACTGTGATAGGTTCTGCCGGGTGGCCGGCCTCACGTCCACTTTTTCTCCATTAAGAACTTTTCCTGGCAAGAGTTCCAACAATTTGTGGACAGAGTTTTCAGAGGCTACCACCACCTCAGCATACCTTGAGGAAAAGAAGTTAAAATCAGTGAAATCTATTTACACAACTGAGAAGAAACAAAGAAATTCTCTTTTTACTTGGCAAAGCAAAAGATATCTTGCTAAATTAACTAATTAAATATATACACAAAACTATCAATAACAAAACCACCCTACCATCTTCCTAACTCATTTTTTTTGTGGGGGCAGGGAGAAGTGACATTAAAAACCAGCACTCTGGCTGGAGGCACGCCTCAAGTGGTAGAGTGCCTGACTAGCAAGCACAAGGCCCTAAGTTCAAACCCCAGTACTGCAAAAACAAAACAAAACAAAACAAAAGTACTTTCCCTCTCAACAAATGGGCATTCTACTACATTGCAACTAGGTCTCGGTTCTAAGGCAGTTTGACAAAACCAAGGTAATGGGGTGCGAGGAGTTAGGATCCAGGGCCAAAATATAGTGCAAATCTGTTACTCTAATGCTTAAAAACTAAAAGGGGCTTCCCAAACCCAGACCTCACCCTTTGGACTGGCCATTTGCTCGATTCTCTGCAAATTTCAACTCCACCACATCATAAACTCCTATAGAGCGAATAACCTGGATCAGCTGCTGGTCTGTGGTCCACTGGGGCCGGCAAGATGGAAAATGGAGAAATGTCAAGAGCTACATGTCCCCTCTTCCCAGTCAAATGCCCCAAACCTAGGACTGTAGTCACAACCATGGCCTCCCACAGGAAATGCAAAAGCCCAGCAATATCTCAATTAATGCAGGCTTTTTTTTTTTTTTTTTAAATTATCCTCTCCCATACAGAATTCCAAACCCATCCACTCCCAACTGCCTATCTTTAGGGATTAAGACTGAAACCTAACTTAACTTTGACTGCCATTTGGGCTGGCTGGTCATCAGTTCAAACACTGATTGCTAACAACTTTTAATTCTAGATTTGACATGCCAGAGCTGACCATTGTCAGGAACTTTTCCCACAATATATGTTATTTCCTAATTTCAAAAGACCACCCCACTCCCAAACACCAGCCCAAAAACATGTCACACAATAACTTTTACAGAACAGTCACCACCTACCCCAGTATACTAGCGCTATCCCCATCACCCACCATTATCAAAGGACCATCTAATGACCACCAAGAGTTCAAGGTGTTCACTCTGAAATGTCGTCCCACAGATGACCCTGCTAGACATAAAGCCCCAGGGTCAGGGGCAGTAGTAAGATGGCAGAAAAGGCAACTACCCACTTAATCATTGCTTTCTTCGGCACCAGTACGTCCTCATGATAGTTCTCTTTCAGAGATCAATCCAACCTGATCCCAGGAAAAAGAAATCCAACCCCATCAGGGCACAAAACAGTGCAACAGTGGTTTCTGAAATGCCATCACCTCCCAGTGCTCTCCCTCCAGCCCACCCATAAGCCTTTTGGTTACCCTTGCTCACCCAAGAGAAGCTGCCTACATAGACGGCTGCTCGTCTATTCCGCAGGCCACTGTAGGTATAGAGAATTGCAGGGGTCTTGTTGTTGGGCTTGGGAGATGGCTCCTGGCGAACAGGAGGAGGTGGCTCAGCACTGCTGCTTCTATCATCTGAGGGCTGTGAGGTAGCCGTCAGCACATCATCATATAGGTCAATCTGATCTGTATTGTTGAACTCTGAGTCCTAAAAGAGGGAAAAGGTGGTTTGTAAACTTTCATTTGTTCCTTCTATTTCACCCTAGTTTACTTAGAACCCACAAATACTTTGTAAAAACAATGTATAAAACTTTCTTAATCTACTCCAGACAACAAAGTAAGAAAAAAACTTCCTCATTTGAAACTATATATTAGTTATTTTTTGTAGATTTCTCTCCCAAGACCTTGTTAGTAGTGTGAATTGTTTCTGGCTTTAGCCATCAGTGAGAATCAAAAGACACACGGTGAATAAACAAGCAAACTAAAGAAGACATGAGATGTGTGTACTACAATTACCAGTGAGGTCAGCCGTTAAGACCACATCTAAAGATACACTAATGAAAATTTATTTTCAACATCTAATGCTATTTCCAAAGTCAAGGATTACATAATACTATTCTGTTTAATAAGAAATAAATCTATCTAGAAATATAAATAGCAGGGGGAAAGAATGTTGAAGTGGGTAGCAAAATGTGAAAAACACTGGTCATGACTGATTTAGGGAAGCTCTTAAGCTCATAAAACATAATCTCAGGTTTCTAATAACCATCAAAGCAACATAAAAAGAAGGGGCTTGGGGATGTAGCTCAGTGGAAGAGCACTTGCCCAGCACACATGAGGTCTTGGGTTTAGTCTCCAACATGGTACAAACCAAATCACTATCCAGATATGGTGATTTGCCTTTGTGGTTCAAGGCAAGGACTTATGAGTCATTTGAGCCTATCCAAAGTTCTAGTCCTTAGAGGATAATATAGTAGGCCCTCTGTATCTCTAGGTTCTGCATCCAGATTTAACAAAGTATGACTGAAAATATCTTGCAAGTAGTTAAAAAATAAAGAATATAAGGCTGGGGACAGAGAGAGTGCTTGTTTAGTAAGCCTGAGGCCCTGGACTCAGTCCCTAGCGCTGCCTAAATAACAGTAATAATAATTGTAAGTAACCTAGAGATGTTTTGAAGTACATGGGAAGAATGTGCATAGGTTACATACAAATACTTTTTTTTTTTGATGGTACTAGAGTTTGAGCTCAGGGCCTTATGCTTGCTAGGCAGGCACTCTACCACTTGAGCCATGTCCCCAGTCCAGCTTTTTTTTTTTTTTTTAAATGAAGGACGAAGCTGTCAGAGTGGCTCAGGTGGTCGAGCACCTGCCTAGCAAGCATGAGACCCTGAGTTCAAATCCCAGTGCTGCAAAAAACAGAAAACCAAAACAACAACAAAATAAATGAAGGATGTAAACACCTGAGAACCTTGGTATGTGTGTGTGAGTGGGGTGAGGGCCAGGACCAATCCACTGAGGCTATTAAGGGACACGTGAACTTCAAACCAAAGTTCTTTAAAGAAACAAAAACAAAAAATAAGGATTTTTCTAATTAAACTTAAAGGGAAAGAGAATAAAGAAACACACCATCTTTGAAATTCATTGGAAACAAACTGGGATTCCTTTTGTGCAGTGATCTGTGATTCAGAGATGTGTATGAAAGTTATACTACAAAAATTATCACTAAAACCTGATTAATGAGCTAAGACAAAGATTTAGACAACTCAGAGACCAAATGTACCATCAGGAACTTCTTCATACTGTAAGCTTGAAGACAATCAGTAACTGTAAGGCACTCCATCTATTCCTTCAAGATCCCTTAAATAAAGGATAGCCTCAGTCCTGGAGGAACTTGGTTAATGGATTACTATTTTAGAAACAAAAGTATTCAATGAATGTGAAATTGTTATAAGATTCTAATGGTCTAGTTCATTCAAACCCCAATTCCACCTCCCCCTGCCCACCAAAAAAAAAAAAAAGTTTCAAAAGGTCTCTCTGGGCCATACAGCCTCAGTTCAAAGAAGCTGGTGGGCCCTGCACAACAAAGGTGTGTTGAGAGTTCCACTGAAGACATGAAGTATGTGTTTCAATTTAAATCTGCAACCTACATGAATTCACTTTACTTATTCAGCTGGTAAGACAGAAAACTAGATAACGTCTGAGGTTTTTCTCATTACCAAAGCTGGTGATTTATCCAGTGATGGACTGGGTTAAAACAAAACCTAATCCTACAAATTATGTGAAAAAACACATTTTATATTCAGTGTCACTGAAAAATTTCATTCTAGGAAGATTAGACAGGAAATTTGTATTTTCTGAATGAATATCACAGCAAGAATTCTGCATTCAATAGCACAGAAGAACAAATTCTCATGAAACCTGCCTCTTAGTAAACAAAAGAGAACTTGTAAGATTGTGAATTTAAGATTTTCTTTATCAGTATGCTCAATGTTCCTACATTTTAGCCCCTTCTTCCTGGTATCTAATTAAAGGAAGTTACTAGCCTAGGATTTATTTTTCTCTCAAAGAATCCACTTCCTTTATTTTTATTTATTTTTAGTACTGGGTTTGGACTCGGGGCCTTGCACTTGCCAGGCAGGCATATTCCCAGCTTCTTTTTGCTTTAGGTATTCAAATAGGGTCTCACATTTATGTCTGGGTTGACCTGGACCACAATGCTCCTATTTATGCTTCCCATATAACTGGGATGACAGGTGCATGCCAAAGCACCCAGCTTTTACTGGCTGAGATGGGGTCACACGAACTTTTTGTCTAGCTTGGCTTCAAACCAAATCAGTCTCCCAAGAAGCTAAAATTACAGGCATGAGCCAGTGCTAGGCTGTTTCTTTTAATTATATTCAAGGCTTAAATAAAATTTTTTTACTTCATACTGACCATCTCCACAGTTCTCACCTTATGCCTTCCCTGCCCATGAATATAACCTGTTACTATGCATGGTCACTACCTATTACCTTTACTCTTGCCCCTAAGGATTGGGAACTGTTTTGAGCACAGGGATCCACCCCTCTTCCTTTTTACCCCACTAGCGCTAGTACAGTGCTTAGCAAACAGAGCAGCTTAACAAACACTTGTTGATGGAAGGAGAGAACTGGGCAAAACCTATCTCAGCATGAAAGGAACAGAAATAAAATACCCAGCAGGGCAGCAGTTCAGTTACCTTTTTAGTTTTTACTCCCAGCCCAATATAGCAGCTGTGTATTGTATGCCAGGTCTCCTGATGTAACAGGAATAAAGTAGCACTGTAAAGGAGGCTTTTGCAGCCTGTGTTTTAAGAAATCAGAGTTTAAGCATCACAAGGTTTCATCTAGGTCCTATGTTAATTTTCTTCAGGGAACAAAGTGTGAGAGAGCTGTTACTTATGAGCCAGCCAGCCTGGAGCAAAACAATATTCTTAAGACATTCTAGTGTTTTTTTTCTTGGTGGTACTGGGTTTTGAACTCAGGGCCTCAACCATGCTAGGCAGGCACTCTTACCACATGAGCCAGTCTACCAGCCCTCTTAGGACATTCTAAAACACAATTTGTACTGGTTGCCTTCAGTCAAAACAACTTCTAACAACTCTATCCACTGTTTGTTGTTTTGAGGCAGTACTAGGGTTTGAACTCAGTTGAACTTAGGCTTAGTAGGCTACCACTCTACCACTCGAGCCAGCCAGTCCTGTTTTGCATTAGTTTTGTTTTTTTTTTAAACTGGGGTAATGCATCGAACCACAATCTTTCTCCCTATTCCTCCCAGTAGTTGGGATTACAGAAGCATACCATTACAACCAGCTTGTTGACTGAGATGGGGTCTTGATAGCTTTTTGCTCAGAATGGCTGCAAACTGATATCCTCAAGGATTACAGGTGTGCACCTTCCAAATTATACTACTCCTATCTTTGCCAAATACTAATTCATGAGGGTGGGTGCTCTTCCTACACCTTCAAGGCATACAACATTCAAAATCTTGTTTCTTCAATTGCCCATCATCAAATATTGCTTATTTGGTAGGCAGATGCTTTTACCTCCTTAGCCACTCCACCAGCAAATAGTACTTATTTGGTATGAACATATATCTAATAAGAGCCCATATACTATCTTTGGCCTATCTTAGAACCATAAAAAAACCCTTTATTAACTAAATAGAGAATAAATTGTTGAGGCCAATCATGTCTATCTTGACAAGGCAATGATCACTAAACAAGGCCTATGTCCTATCAATTTACAAGTTACACTGCTTAAGAAATTATGAAAACTGAGTGTGGTGGTGCATGCCTGTAATCCCAACACTTGGAGGCTGAGGCAAAAGGATGATGAGTTCAAGGACAGCTTGCAGTACATAGTGAGTTTCAGGCCAGCCTGGAGTACACAGAGACCCTAATTTTCTTAGGCCCAACATTGTGTTCTGTGATCAAGGACCCTGTTCTGCCTATTTCCCAAAGTAAACTGGTAGCACTGTTAACACACAAATAAGAAATTAAGGGAGGAAAAGTTGTTTGTTAATAGAGAACTAAAGGAGCCTTCTTTTCTTATAAACAACAAAATGATAATTTACAAAAATCAGCAAGTGTGGTTCAAACCAAAATGCAAAATCCAGGAAAGCAATATCTTTGTTACTAAATTACTATGCACAACCTTTTTCTTTTATCCTTAATTAGCTTGTTTGAAATTTTAAAAAATTTTTCACGTATTTAAGACATTAGCAGTCATATGTAGAGTCAAAGTCAACAGAGAAGACATGAGAAAACTGCCATCACAAAGTATAATTAAAGCTTGGTGCCAGTGGTTCATGCCTGAAATACAACATATTCAGGAGGCAGAGATCAGAAGGATCACAGTTTGAGGCCCCAGCAAATAGTTTACCAGATCCTATCTTGAAAATACCCTACACAAAAAAGGGTTGACAGAATGGCACAAGTGGTAGAGTGCCCAGCAAGCATAAGGCCAAGTTCAAACCCCAGTACCATCAAAAAAAAAAAAAAAGTATAATTAGGTGAGTTGTGGTGGTACATGCCTGCAGTCCCAGCTACTTGGAAGGCAGAGGTAAGAGGATAGCAGTTGCAGGTCTGCCCAGGCAAAATTTACACAAGACCCTATTTGAAAAGCAAATAAAAATAAACAGAATGACTGGGGCATGGCTCAAGTGGTACAGTGCTTGCCTAGCAAGAGTAAAGCACTGCAGGGGGGGGGTGGATAATTAGGGGCAAGGGGGAGTAGTTCAGTGATAAGAGTTCATGCTTAGCATGCACAAGATACTGCTGTATTCAATTTTCAGCACATAGAAAAGTTGTAGAGCTGTATAATAGGTAATTCCACCGTTTGACTTTTGTGTATGCTTTTAAAATCAACATTTAAAAGCCGTGATGCAAAGAAAATAAAAACGAACAAAAATTAAAACTATGATGCAGACAGAGCATGATGGCTCATGACTACAACACCAGCTACTTGGGAGGCAGAGGTAGGAGAATCATGGGGGAAAAAAACAGAAGACCCTATCTGAAAAACAAACCAAACTAAGTAAACTTTAACTTAGTAAACTAAACTAAAAAAAGGATAGGGTTGTGGCTCAGGTGACAAGAGCACATGCTTATCAAGTGCAAACTGCAGTACTGCCCCCCCGCCCCCCCCCAATAAAAGGGTGGGGTGGATGAGTCTCCTTTGTTGCCTCATATCAAAGTCAGGGTATTCTCCTTTTCGACTCCATTCTTTCTTTGTGTACACACTGGAAGACACCAATTAGAACTAGCTTGCCCAAGCAGAATGGTGATGAAAACCCAGGTAAAGTAAGAACTTTTTAACCCTCAAGATCCCAGAAATGAAATGCACAGTTTATTATTTCAAATGCAACCTTCGTATATTATCTGATACAATAAATATAAAAAGTCACTAAGGAATCCAACCTAGGGGAAATGGACCTATACCTGCTTTTTAACTAGCTTGTCCAATGTCTCTATCCCCTCCCCTCCAGAAATAAGGTTCATCTCCCTGCAGTAAGTGATTCACGCCTATAATCAATCCTAGCTATGTGGGAGGCTGAGACTGGAAGGATCAAGGTTCCAGGCAGCCCAGGCAAATAGCTCAAGACCCCATCTCTAAAATAACCAGAGCAAAATGGGCTGGAGGTGTGGCTCAAGCAGTAAAGTGACCGCTTTGCAAGCACAAAGCCCGAGTTCAAACCCTAGTTCCATTAAAAAAAAAAAAGTTCATTAATAAAACTTGTTATACCAAAATGCCTATGGACCTCTTAAAATTAGAGCTGAGCTACTTATAAAAGATTTAAAACAATTGGAAAGAGCTGAACCTAAATGATATATGGTGTCTTTGGGTTGAGCTGCATTCTGAGATGACAGCAAAGTAACAGGTATCAACACTTCTGGTGAATCCTGTAACAAATATAATTGTGATTTTCAAGCGTGGTTGGTCTTTGCAGAGACTGACATCCAACATTTGCTTCCTGGGGGAGCAAATTCCACAGGTTGATTCACCATTCTGCTACACTTGATTTTTATTTGCTCTTAAAGCAAACCCTTTAAAATTAAGCCTGGAGGTTCAAATGAACACAAAGTGCAACGGTCAGTAGTCTTTAGTCTCCACCAGGGGGAAATTCTTAGATGCTCTGGGGGGGAAATTTTAGATCTGACAGACTCATGTTTAAGTCCGGCAATGGCACAGTTTAAAGCCACTGCGAGTTTGCTGCAAGTGGCTGCTCAGCTGATGGTGGAAAAATCCCAAAGCTCCAGATGACCCCTCACCTGGTTGAACTCCTCATCAGCGTATATATCAATCAAGTCCACTCCTTCTGACATGGCTCCGGAAAGAAGATCTCGAGCCGGGAGAATGGACAAAGTAAGAAAGATGCCACTGCGGTATTCAGAAAAGGGCGAAGATTAGCAGGCATGAGGGTCCCGGGCCGGGAGGCGGGCAATGGTTGCCAACCTCCCGTTTCCAGAGACGCAGCAGCATCCTGGCAGCACCAGCTCGGCCCCACCCGCTCCGCCCCGCCCCCGGCCTCGCGCCGCCCCCAGCTCTCCCAGGCCGCCGGGCTCGCGGGGCTCGCTGCCCATCACCCGCGGGCCCGACCTGAGTTGCGCCGGGCCGGCGCCGCAGCTGCCTGTGGCGCGCCGGGAAAGTCCGGGCCTCCGCTCGCAGGGGCCCCCGTGACGGGCTGCGAGAACGACCACAGCGAGGCCCGCAGCCCCAGCCCGTTGCACCTGTCTAGGCCCCGAGGCGGCCCCGACCCAGCCCCTGAGGGCCCGGAAGCTCCGGCCGCCTTCACTCCCCACCCAGGCCCAGTCCTCGCCCCCGTGTAGGCCTGCCCCATTCCCTCCCAACAGACGCGGCCCGGCGCCCTCAGCCCCCTCCCTCAAAGGCCCGCGCCTCCCTCCGCCCGCCGTCTCCGGCCGTCCCAAGCTCAACCGACCCCCTCCCAGCCTCGGCGCCGGCCCCGACCCTTCTTCCGGCCCAGTCAGTCCCTAGCCGCGCGCCCCCGTTACCGGGAATATGGCGGCGGCGGTGGCGAGTCCGGACTAGGCCCGAAGCGCGCGAACCGCTCTCCGCCCCAGGTCCCACCCCCCCGCAGCCGGCGGCGTCACACGCACCGCCACTTCCGCCGTACGCAGAAGGGCGTCTTCCGGTTTAGGCCCTCCGCGGCGGCTGAAGTCCGTATATTGGGATGGCCTGGAGTTCCCGGAAGTGGCTAAGTTGCAGGTTTCCGGCGTGGTAGGGAAAAATGGCGGTGGTCATGGCTTTTCCGGCTCTGGCGCGGGTGAGAGAGCGGAGGTTGTAGAGTCTGGGGTGGGCGGCAGCTAGAACTGAGTTTCGTTTTCATCTGTGGCCATGGAGACTGTAGGGCGCATTTAATTGCCCGATGGGGCAAGAGCAGTCCCAAGGCAAGGCCGACCCTAGTTCAGGAAAACCAAGTCCCTGACGAGGGTGAGTCCATTCCCACCGTGGGATCGACGAGTAATAACTTGGTCAATTGTCAGTCATCGTGCGAGACCCAATTCAGATCTCACCTACGTCCCAGGCAGAGTGTCAGTCCGCCGCTCTGAGTGGCCCTTTCTTCATGGCTGTTCTTGTCTTCCATAGCTACTGTGATTTCACGTAGTATCCTGAGCTCTTTACGTTTATTTGTTTATGTTTTTGGAGACAGTTTCTCTGTGTTACCTAGGCTGACCTCGAATTCCTGATCCTCACGCCTCAGCCTTCAGAGTAGCTGGGATTACAGATGTGGGACCCTGTACCCCTTGAGCCGTACCTCCAGCCCTGTTTTCTAACGCAGGCACTTGTCTTTAGGAACTTTCTTCTTAGTGGTTTTTGTTGCGTCTCATAATTTTTTGTATATTCGGTTTTCGTTTGTCTTGAGATAGTTTTAATTTTCCTTTTGATTTCTTAATGGCCTTCTGGTTGTTCAAGAATGTTGTTTACCTTCCACATATTTGTGAATTTTCTGGTTTTTCCTTTTGCTGTTGATTTCCAGTTTTATTACAGGATGGTTGGAAAAGACATTTGGTATGATTTGTCTTCTTAAATTTGTTAAGACCCGTTTTGTTTTACAACTTGTAAAGTATCCTGGCAAATGTTCACGTGTGCTCTGGAGAGGAGCCCGTACTGGCCTACTCTTCGGTGGAACGTTCTGTATGTGTTAGCTACATTTGGTCTATAGTGTTGTTCAAGTTCTCTTTCACTCTCTGGATGTTCTATCTGTTACTGACACTGGGATTTTTGTTTTGTGTGTGTGTGTGTGTGTGTTTGGTGGGACTGAGGTTTGAACTCAGGGCTTCCTATTTACAAAGCAGGTGCTGTGCTGCTTAAGCCACACCTCCAGTCTGTTCTGCTTTGGCGAGTTTGGAGATGGGAACCTCACAAACTATTTGCTGGCTGGCTTTGAACCACAGTCTTCCCTTCTCAGCCTCCTAAGCAGCTAGAATTACACCTCTGAGCCACAGGGCTGAAAGTGGGATATTGATAGCTACTATTTGTTGCTATGTTTATCATTATATAATGTCCTTCTTTGTCTTCTGTGACTTTTTTTCTTTTCTTTTTTTTTTTGTGCTGGAGATTGAACCCAGGGCCTTATGAGTGAGGCAATCTCATTTTCTTTTGTGTCTGCTACAAGTAACAATCTATTACAAGATGATAACAATTTCAGTTGCCTACTAAAATTCTGTTACCAGTGTCACAAAGCATACTTTTTATATTGTATATCTATTGACAAATTTCTACAGTTTTTTTTTTTTTGGTAACTTCTATACTAGGATTAAAAATGATTTACAAGCTGTGTGCACACCTGTAGGGCCAGGTACTCCAAAGGCTGGGACAGGAAAAGCCCCGAAGTCCAAGAGTTCAAGGCCAGCCTGGGCAAACTAGTGAGATACTCTTACTCTCCCAAACCCCCTTCCCCTCCCGCCCCCGCAAAAATAAAAAGAAAAGAAAAAGACCCAGATATACATTCCACTTACATTTACAATTACAATACCGTTTACAATATTTTATGTTTGTTCATTTACCTTTACCAAAGAACTTTATACTGCCATACATATTTGTGTTTCTGTCTAGCAAATTTATTTGTCCTCAAATGACTCAAGAATTTCTTTTAAGGTGGATCTAATGGTGATAAATTCCCCAGTTCTCATTTATCTGGGAAAGTCTTTACTTCCTAGTATCACCTATTTCTAGGTCTAATCCCCAGCACTGAAAAATTTTAAAAATGAGGGAGAAGGAGGAAAAAAAATGAAATTACTAGAAGTTTCCCTGTATTAATGATGATAACCCTCCCTTTTCTCTTTCATTTCCATAGAAAATAACCATTATTTAGTGCAGAAATTATGAATCCCTACCTTTAGCGGGTGTCAGAATCTTCTAGAGGGCATTTTCCCAGGCCCCAATTCCAGGGATTTTGATCCAAAATGTTTAGGATTGGGCTTAGGAAAAGACATTTTTGCTACATACTGTATTTGTTTGCTTGGGTTGCCATAACAATACCACAGAGCGGCTTAAACCACAGAAAGAGGCTTAAAGTCCAAAGTGAAGTCGTTAGCAGGTTTGGTTTCTCTAGAAGTCTCTCCTTCACTTGCAAATGGCCATTTTTTTCATTGTGTCCACTACACATTCCTGGTGCCTATTTTCTGACTTGACCATTTAATTATACTGTTTCTTGATGTGGACTTATGCTAATTGAGGTAACTCAGGCTTTTTGAATCTGGTTGTCCATTTCTAAAGTTTGGGAAGTTTCAGCTACTATTTCCCTAAATAAGATTTCTGCTCCCCTTTCTCTCCTGTTCCTCTGGTACTTTCATAACGTGTGCACCGGTGTGCTAATGTTGTTCTGTAAGTCCCTTAGGCTTTCCTCACTCTCATTCTCTTTAAGTCTGTTCCTCTGATTGGGTAGTTTCAAATGAATTATCTTTGAGTTAGCTGGTTTTTCTGCTTGATCAAGTTTGCTGTTCAACCCCTCAATTGAATTTTTAAATTCAGTTCATTGTGTTCTTCAGCTCCAAAATTTGCTTCAGTTTTTATATTTTCAGTCTCTTGACATTCTTGTTCTGTTCAAGCATTATCTTCCTCAGCTTGCTGAGCATCTTTGTGATGGCTGTTTGGAATTTTTCATTAGGTGGTTCATATACATCTGATTCTTCAAGGTATCTTTCTGGAGAATTATTTTGGCCCTTTGGTCATGTTTCTCCACTTATTCTAGTACTTGACAACTTTGCATTGGGATCTGTGCATTTGAAAGAACACTTTTTATGAACTAGCTTCATGAAAGAAAAGACCATTAATAACCAGCAGGACCTCAACCCTTTTCTGTGGATGTATCTTCTCTGGATTTCTTGGGTATAAATTCCCATTTAAAGAGAGTTGTCACTTTTCTTTTTCAGGAGCTCATAATCTCTGTTTCTCCTGGTGTCTGTCTGTGTTTCTTTGGAGGTGCTGCAAGTCCTTCAGCTCTTATTCTCAGTGGACACTAGACTTTTAGAGTATTCCAGATCTGTCAGTAGTCCAAGTTGGGCAAAGCAGAAACTAGTCCCTCAGGCAGTACCCAAAAGAGCCACACTGCACTCTATCCCCAGGCTATATTAGCTTCTGTCTGCTATAGCATGGATCCTCTGGATCAGTAATAAGCTGCCCTAGGCATCTGGAGTAGGCTGTGTCCTATCAGTGTTTTTGAGACCAGAGAGACAGAAACCAGTCCCACAAGTGACCCCCTAAAAAGCTGAAATGCTAAAACATTAGATAGACATTCCAACTCTTTCTCTCCCCACTGAGAAGCTGGGAGTTAAGGGAATTAGGACCATAGCAAGTGAGTGCTTACTAGTCCAAACCATTCCCTTTGTTTTCCTCAGCTCCCAGCCAAGTGCCCTTTCCTATAGCACTTAGATTCAGGCAAGACAGAAACCAACCCGTTGAGCTGCCTTCTAAGAGTTGAACATTGGACATATGTTTCAGTTTTCCCTTCCCTCCCCAGGATGAAGTCAGAAACTGGGAGTTTTCTCCCTGACACCCTTTTGAGAGGTAGGGGGGAAAGAAGACCATGCCAAGTGAGTGCCACAGATTTTCTGTTGGCTTCGATGAAGCTGGTTTTGCACTCATCTGGGGTGCAGGAGTGTAATTTTTCTGGATTCGCACAAAGAATTGATCTGTGTACAGTTGTTGAGTCAATGTCTCCATTGTGGGTTGGGGGGAGAGGAGGGCTTCCTATTCTGCCATTTTGTTGAAGTCATCACCTTTATATTCTATCTTGCTTGTTTATATCCATCTCTAGATTGGGAGCCTTTGAGAGATTAGGGACCATACTGTGTGTATTCTCAGGGTTTAACACAGGTGAGTGCCTCGAACAAAAACTGCTACGTAAAAGAATGTAAAAGAAGGAGAAAATATTTCTGCTGGGGATCATTTCTGGAAAGACTGTTTAAGAGCCCACATCTGCAGTGCTATTTGGATGGCTGTCCTCTCTGAACTTCAGATTACTGGATTTCAGCTATAAAGTGGGGGATGTGTCAGCATAATTTCTTAATGGCTCTAGGGCCTAATGCATTTAGCACCTCGTAAGTGTTGAAAAAAATGACAGTGATGGTAGTCATGGTTATTAGTAAGATGTTGTGGTTTGTTTGTTTCAGATGGTGTCAAGGCACAGCCTATTGTCGCCTTTGCTCTGTGGGATATCATTCAGACGCTTCTATAGAGGTGACAGCCCAACAGATTCACAGAAAGATGTGATTGAAATCCCTTTGCCTCCGTGGCAGGAGAGAACGGATGAATCCTTAGAAACCAAAAGAGCCCGCCTGCTGTATGAGAGCAGAAAGAGGGGAATGTTGGAAAACTGTATTCTCCTTAGGTAGGGGAATAGGAGTTTGGATGTCACTCATCTTTTATAGGAGACAGTCTTTTCAGCTTCTTTCTCTTTTGTGTTTTCAGCCTCTTTGCTAAAGAACATCTGCACAACATGACAGAGAAGCAACTGAACCTCTATGATCGCCTGATTAATGAGCCTAGTAATGACTGGGATATTTACTACTGGGCTACAGGTAGTAGTATAATAATAAGTAGCATACTGTGAAAATGGGATGCCTTAGACTGATTTGGTTCTGAAATTGTATTCTGGCAGTGTTTTTCTTCTTTTATTCATAAACAACCCAAACACTTCAGATTTTTCCAAAATGAGCAAAATTTGTTTTATCAGTTAAAATTCTTTGTGAGACAGAATAGAAACTTACTGTGTCTAACTTAAGCAAAAAGGGAAGAAGAGAAGAATGTTGAAATCTCTCATTATAATTGTGAATTTGTCTGTTATTCCTTCCATTTCTCTCAGTTTTTATGCTTCACACTTTATATATATATTTTTTTGTTTTGTTTTGTTTTGTTTCGTTTTAGCGGCACTGGGGTTTCAACTCAGGACCTCATACTTGCTAGGCAGGTGCTCTTACCACTTGAGCCACTCCCCTAGCCCTTTCTTCACACTTTTTGAAGCCCTGATGTTATGTGAAAACACACTTGGATTGTTATATTTTCCTGATGAATTACCTTGTTTAGCATTGTATTTGTCAGTCTTTACTACTGATAATGACCCTTGTTCTACGGTGTCCAATAGTAATATAGACATTCCAGCTTTCTTCTGATTAATGTTTGTGTGGTCTGTGGCTTTCCATCTGTATTAGTTTCCTCTTGCTATAAACAATTACCACAAACTAATTAATTTTAAACAACATCCACTTATTAGCTCAGAGTTCTGTAAGTCAGAAACTGTGCCCAGATCTCACTCTCTGAAGTCAGTATGTCAGGTGTTCTATGTTCTTATTTGAAACTCTAGGGCAGAATCAGTTTTGAAGCTCATTTAGGTTGTTGGAGAATTCATTTCCTAGCTCTGGAAGACTGAGATCACCATCGTCTTGCCAGCTGACAATTTCTTTTAGCTTCTTGGGGTCCTTGTCATGTGGCCCCCTCCACTTCAGTAATGGAAATCCTCCCTCACATTGAATCTTTCTCATATATTACTTCTCTCTGACTTCCCCTTCTGCTACCAGCTGGAGAAAGCTCTGCTTTTAGGAGCTCATGTGATTGGGTCATCCCTACCTGGATAATATCCCTGACCTAAAGTTACATTTGCCATACAACAGCTTAGTTATAGGAGTAAAAATCATCATATTTACAGTCCTGGGGAGTTTTGCGGGGTGTGTATACCAGAAGAGTGGGCAATATTGGATGCTTTTCTGAAAGTCTGCCTAACACATCATTGATTGCCTTTTTCCTTGTGTTGGGAAAAAAAGTGTCTTGTTTTCTGCTCTATTATCAGGCCACAGTTAACACAGAATTGAATTTGATTTTGCGTATCTATCTGATCGCACAGATATCTGATCCCACAGGCTGAGAGCTCAGTCCCCAAGCTGCCCCCCACTTTAGATGCCAGTTGCAAACCCCAGGTTGTTTTTATCTATGCTTCTAGCCAATCCCATTCTTGGATTCAATTAATTTCCTCAAGCAGCTCACAGAATTCAATAAAAACGCCTACATTTTCTGGTTTATTATAAAGGAAGTTACAAAGGACACAAAGGGATGCATAGGGTGAGATATGAGAGAAGGGGTGGGGAGCATCCATGCTCTTTGTGTACCATACTCCAGGAACCTCTGTGAATTTGAACATCTGGAAGCTTTTGACCCTGTCCTTTGGGGACTTGATTGCAGAGGGATGATGGACTAATAGAGTGTCAGCAGTAGACTATAAGTAATAGACTAGGCAGGGAAGCCCAGCAAGACTTGTCTATTCAGGTTTTTGTTGGCCTTTCTATGCAGTATTCCTTCCTTCAGGGTATGAGACAGAGCTCTTCTGGGATGAGGGGGTCTTCTGACCTATTATCAGACACGGGTAGGTTATCAGAATTCCTTCATTACCAGCTCCAAGACAAAGGTGCGGAAGATTAGAGTTTCTATGGCCTGCTTTGGGGAGGGAGTTCTAAGCCAGGAACCATAGATGAAAATGGAGGTACACATATATTGTCACAGTTTTGTCTTTATATTTAAGGTGAGTTTTTCATAGACAGTATGTCTGTTCTTTGTTCCTTTATCCCTCTTATTTCTGTATTGTCTGTGTATGTGGCTTTTAGATTATTATTATTTCATTTTATCTCCACTGTTGTCTTATCTATGTCCCTATAATTTTTTTTTTTTAGTAATTGCCTTAGGGTTCACAGTATAGCTTTTAATTAGTCATAGTCTGAATTGCAGGCATACTATATGACTTCATATATAATGTAAAAACTACGATAGTATACTCTCATTCCTTTCTCTCATTTTTATTTTTTGTGCTGTTGTCATACTTTTTACTTTTACCTTTGCTGTAAGCCTACAGTACATTCCTACTGTTTTATTTTGGATGTCTGAGGAAAAGAATACAAAAAATACTTTATATTGTCCTTCATTTTAACTATTTCTGGATCTACCCATTTCTTTTTGTTTTAAAGTCCATGTTTCTATCTGGTACCATACTCCTTTTGCTCAAAGAACTTTATTTCTTGTAGCACAAATTGATTGTTATGAATTCTCTCAGCTTTGGATAGAGAATTGAAGGTTCACAATTTTTTTCTTTCAGCGCTTTATGTGGGCACATTTCTGTTACAAGGCTGTTAGTGTGTAGGATGGAGTCAGTCTTGTCAGAGTTGAGCTGGATTTGGGTTTGTAGTTGCTTTAGTTACCTTCAGTGCACCATCAGCTTCAAATTTCTCTGGTGTTACCATGTGCTGTTTTCTGGTTTGTCTAGTTTCTGACAAGAGGTCTGTATCTGTTTTTTTGTATGTAATGAATCTTTTCTTTCTGAGTGTTTTCAACATTTTATATTTGGTTTCTAATTGTTTGGATATGAAATGTGGACTACTCAGCTTTCTGTCACTGTAACAGATACTGGGATGATGAACTTGTAAAAGAGAAAATGTTTTATTTATTTATTTGTTTGAGACCAGGTAGGTCTCTCTATGTTGCCCTGTCTGGCCCTGAACTCCTGTGCTCAGGTGATCCTTTTGCCTTAGCCTTCTAGTTGCTGGGAGTACACCACCAGACACACCACCATACTCAGCTCTGAAAAGGTCTCACACTATTGAAAATTTCAGTCCATGGTTGATTGGCCCCATTGCATTTGGGCCTGTGATCAGGCAGCCCATGATTCAGAGAGCACATGGTAGTGTAAGGTGCTTGCTTCATGGCCAGGAAGTGAAAGAGGGCGCAGATGTACATGAGTGATGGGGGTAGAGGGAAGGAGGGGCTGAGGTCCCATTATCTCCTTCAGGGCTTGCACCCAATGACTTGAAGACCTCACACTAGGGTCCTCCTCTTAAAAGGTCTACTACCTCCCAAAAGAATCAAGCTGGGGACTAAGCCTTTAACACATGGAGATCACTGTCCTTTAGGGGACATTCCAGATTCAATATATGGCAATCTGGTTAGGTGTTTGCTTTCATATTTATCCTGATTGGGGTTCTCTGTGCATGTTAGATCCATGGTGGGTGTTCTGTTTTTGTTTTTGGGTTTTATTTTGGTTTTGTTTTTTTTTTCGGTACTGTGGTTTGAACTCAGGGTGTCAAGTGTACGAAGTAGGTTCTCTGCCACTTGAGCCATTCCCCAGCCATAAATCCATCAATCTGTGAGGTTTTTTTGTTTGTTTTTCTTTTTCTGTTTTTGGCAGTACTGCAGGTTGAACTCAGGGCCTCACGCTTCACACTTGTTAGGCAGGTACTCTATAGTTTGAGCCACTCTACTAGCCCAGTCTGTGTTTTTATATTCTCATTATTGTTGGAAATTTACCTCTTTTGCCTCATTCACTCCCTCTTTTCCTTTTAGGATTCTGATTGCACTCAGATAATTTTCATCCCATAGCTTTTGGATTCTGTTTTGTGTTTTTACTTTATTTTCTCTGTGTGTATTGTTTTGGATAATTTGTACTGGATAATATCTCTTAACATGTTTTCCACTGGTTCTTTCCTTGATCATGTCAGAGCTCTTGATGAGTATATTGAAGTCATTTGGCATATCTACTACTGTGTTTTTATTTTTAGCATTTCCATTTGTTATTTAGAGTTTTTAACTCCCTGTTGGAATTTCTCATCTGTTCATACATTTTATCTACTTTTTCCATTAGAGCTTTAATATTAGTTACAATTACTTTAAATTTCTCATGTTTTTCATTTTTGTTTTTGGTGATACTAAGACCTTGAACTCAGACCTTGTACTTACCAGGCAGGAACTCTACCACTTGAGCTACACCTCCAGCCCTTTTTTGCTTTAATTATTTTTCTAAGGTTGGTCTCAGACAGTGATACTCCTACCTGTGACCTCCTGCATAGCTGGGACCACAGATGTGTGCCACTACACTCACCTTATTTGTTGAGATGGGGTCTCACTAGCTTTTTGCCTAGACTGGCCTCAAACCATGATCCTTCTGATCTCTGCCTCCCAAGTAGCTGGAATTACAGACATGGCTGATAAGTTCCAACATCTGAGTCATCCCTGTTTATTGCTTGGTCCCTTAACAATATGGGTTTTTTGTTTTGTTTTGTTTTTCTTTTTTGCATATGTATATCACATAATTTTCTTTGTTTGGGGCTTTTGAAGGTTTGGTTTATTTTATTTTTTTTTTTTGAGACAGGGTCTAACTCTGTAGCCCAGGATGACCTTGAACTCATGATCCTCCTGCTTCAACCTCCCCAGTGCTGCAATTACAGGTGTGCACCACCATGTGTTCTGCATCACATATTTTTTAATTGAACATCAGACATTATGAGTAAGACAATCAGGACTGAGGTATGTGGTATCGATGCCTTGAATGGGCATGCTTCTCCTAGGCTATTAGTGCAGGGGATCAAGTCAGGTGAGTTAGGAGGTAAGCTTACTTTGGATTTTGTTTTTGTTTTGGTTACCTTTAGGGCAGCATGAGCCTCTCATGTTACCCTGAGCTCAGGGCATACAGGTTGTTTTCAAAAGGTGTTTCTCGGTGTTTCTGTTCTACCCTCACCTTCTGGTTTTCTTGTATTTCTGTGCCTCAAAGGGAATTTCCCCATGCTCTTGTCTGTTCCCCTCCCTGTTCCCAAGCAGTAAATTCTAGTGCTTTCTGCTTGGTGCTTGTTAGTTTAGTTCTTGTTCAGCCCTGGTTTGCGATAAGCCCTGTGGCTGTAGCTCTTGGAGCTGGGATTCTTCAGTGATTCTGTGCCTTCCCCAGGAGTAGAAGTTTTTTTATTTTGGGTTTCTTGTTTGTTTTGTTTTGTCTTTCTTTCATTCCTTTTCCAGCCCACATGGGTTCTCACTTGCATACTGAGAGAGACAGGATTTCTATACTTGCTCTCAGTCATTGGAAGCCTTTGTTGTGTAGAGAAGAAGGGCCCAGCCTAGGCTTCATATTCTTTTACCACATTAACTGGCTCACCTCCTCGTTCTCCTGATCTGCACCCAGTGCTCCAGTGGAGGCTTGTTGGGAAGAACCTGCAAGTGGGTGTGTGCTCCACTTTTATCTGTGGCCTCCAGGGCTAACCAATACGTAACTGAATTTTTCTTGCCTGTTTGTATTACACCCAGTGTCTCTTCTTTATGCTCACCTGACACAGGTGAGCAAGTACTTGTGCCCAGTTTTCCCTTTGAGTGGCTTCTTTTTTCTTATTCATTGCATTTGGTTGCCCTCTGAACTCAGCTCTTTGACACCTTCAAGAAAAGCCATGATATTTGTTGTTTTCTGACTTTTTCTTGTTGTTAAAAATGGGTGTGATAGTCTCTCCAAATTTCTATATCCTAAGGGGAAATCTAAAACTCCTTTTTCTTATTTTATCACAAAGCCTCCCAGAACATTCAGTTGTTGCCATGCTCTGTACTGAAAGGGGAATCTGACTTAGTTTCAAGGGATTCCTTCTCCTTGCATTGTGTTTAGTCTTGACAGAAGGGCAGTTCCAGAGCCACTACCTAAACTTTGCCAGTGGGGGACTTTACTTGTAATTGGCATGTTTAGTGTCTCAAAGGTAGAAAAAAAGGTTGGAAGTGACAGCATGCTGTCAGACTCCAGTCACCAGGCTGAGACTGATGTTCTTGTTTCTTTACTCTCTATGCCTTTGTTGCCTGTCCACTTACATTGGGTTCTCGTTAGTTCTATGTGCCTCTAATGTCCTTCCAATAAATTCCATTTTGCTTAAGTTTATTAGTGTATTAGTTTCTGTCACTTACAACCAAGGACCTCTAGTTGACAAAGTAGAGCTTTTGTCTCAGGAAATTTATAGATTTCCTGTTGTAGGGATGTAACTCAGTAGTAGAACACTTGTCTAGGTTCAGTCTCCTACATTTAAAAGAAAAAAAAAGAGTAGAAGGGGAAACAATGCACAATGCAGCAGTGTTTTGTCATCTGAAAGGAATTCATTCCAAGACCTTTTCTGGATACCTGAAACTGGGTAATCCCAAACCCTATGTATCCTGTGTTTTCCCCACATGCCCTACAGTGTTGCCACATAGCACCAAAGTTAATCTGAGTTTCCATGTTCTGTGCTCTGGTGCCTCCTTGCATCACTATTCTTATGTCTTGAACCATTAAGTAAAATAGTTACTTGATCACAAGCCTCCGGTACCTCAGCAGTCAAGTCTGAAAATGGCTATGGGGGTGTAGCTTGTGTCCTGTGGATACACTGGACAAAGATGAAGCAGGATGGAGTGAGATTTCACCATGTTACTTGGAATGGCATGCAGTTTAAAACTTATGAATTGTTTTTTTTGGGATTTTCCATTTAATATTTTCCATCTGTGGTTGGTTCCAGGTAAATGAAACTGTGGATAGTGAAACCGCAGATAAGGCATGTACCCAGAAAGCAACTGAAGACCAAATATAGAGTAAAGTAGCTAGTCAAGATTGTGCAGGCCAGGGATCAGCAAGTTTGTTCATAAAGGACCAGATAGTAAATATTTTAATCTTGCAGTTATTCCGTCTCTGTCATGAGTTACTCACCTGGTCATTAAACACAAAAGTTATCACGGGTCATCTGCAAATAAATGGGAGCAGCTGCTCCAGCAAAACTACTTAAAAATGGAGGCTAGCAGTTTGCCGAGCCCTGGTATAGCCTAATATCACATGTAGTTAGAGGAAGTATGGAGGTGGTCTACATATCCAGTTGTGGTTCTTGGCCAAGGCCAGAGCCCAAGTTTTAAGGCCTTATAACTGACTGTGGCATAATTCTTTTCTGCCTGCTCTTCTCTTGCAGAAGTAAAACCAGCCCCAGAAATATTTGAAAATGAAGTCATGGCTCTGCTGAGAGAATTTGCGAAAAACAAAAACAAAGAGCAGAGACTGTGTGCCCCAGATCTTGAATACCTCTTTGAAAAGCAACGTTGAGCTGTGCACTACTGCCTGGCATGAGGGTCAGTCTATGGACGGTAACTGCTTATGACACTGGCCTTGATTTCCTGCTTCTCTCTAGACACTTGATTCCTTTAAGTGGTGGACATGCCTCTCTTCAAGAACAGACATGTGAATGTGCGGTGAGATTCCTAACATGTTTTTGTTCAATTCTGAGTCTCCAAAGTCCTTTGTCAGCGTCGTGCACTCCAGCCTGTCTCGTCTGGCTGCTGTGATATAGGTCTGCCACAAGAGGGCACTGTAGGGGAAGTGATCTCGCTAGTCATTGCCTCAGCTGGTTGTTTCAGTGAAAAGAGACAGCCAGCTGCAAGTGCTATGTGAAAAGCCACCCTCTCACCCTCCACCTGCAGTGGCCCTGGGCTTTGTTAAAATGAAATTCTTCCCTTCCAGCCTGGTATGGTCCTTTCTGCCAAGGAAAGCTGATCCAAGCCCCCTGAGCTGAGCCCATGAAAAGCACAGCAGGCAGAATGAGGGCAACAAGCAGGAATGGTGTGGGCACACTGCTTAAGAGTAAACATCCTCGTCATCAGATTTTCTTTAAAATCCGCACTTTGTAAATTGAAAGATAATTGAGTATTAAAGAATACTGAAAAAAGGAAATTGACAGTTTCCTAATCCTCACGATTGCTTTCATTTTGTCTTTTCTCATATCACCCACAGTCATATGTTTATAATAGAGTCCTACAAGGCCACAGTCCTAGGTTTTCTTTCCTCATAGCACTGCAGCAACCTTCCCACTCCTTTCTGCAGTTCATAGTCATATTAGTTCACGGAATAATATACAAGAAGTAGTGGGTTAGAATGCAGTAGTTGGAAGTGCTTAGTTCTAGGGCCAGAAGAGTTGTGCATTGCTAGAAGTGGTTTCCTTGAGGACCTTTGCCCTTGGAGTTATTAGAAGAGCTGGCCACTCAGAATGGCAGGGAGTATCTAAAGGTATTTGCTTGAGGAAGGCCATCCAGAACTGATGAACATGTGGTTGGTGATCACAAGAGCTGCAGGCAGGGAGGAAGTACATCTCCAGCATTGTTGAGTTCCAGGGTCCCCTCAAAGCCTCCTCATGGGTCCAGCCTGTCCTCTCACTAATTGTGAGATCAAATTCTGGCTGCATTGCTAATCTGTTGGATAAGTTAATTGGCTTGAGCCTCAGTTTCCCGTCTATAAACAGATAATCCTCCCTGTCTGAGGAAGATAAGGAGACAAGACACACAATGCTCTGATGTGGTACCGAGCACACAGTATGTACTAGGACTGTATGAACCTGAGTATTTGGTCCTAGCCTTCCCCTGAGATAGAACCTGTCTCCTAACGTAAATTATCTGGCATGTCAGCTTGGTCACTGTTGATACCTGCAGGGCAGTCTTGTCTGTCAGAAAGCCAAGCCTATTAAAGTAACCATGGAGTGTCTTACAAGCTGGGAAAACTGGAAAGAAAACAAACGCTGGTGACAAGTCCTTTGATGGAAGAATCTAGCACTTTCACCTCAGCAAGGAATGGGAGTGAGGGTTAGGAGGCAGAAGCAGGAGCTTATGGAAGACTCTGGCCATTCTCCTGGGTGTCTTCTGATGTCCTGTGGGGGAGGATGTTAGTCAGGCAGAGTTTATATATAGAAGCGTATCTGGACTGTAAGAAGTGCACATGCACTGGGCAGTGACTTACCCATTTATCCTGAGCACATTATGCAACCAACCCCAGAAGCCAAGTATGCAGTGTGGGCTTTATTTTCCCCTCAAGTCTGATCCCTTCTTACCCTGATTTTGTCTTAAATTATTTAACGTCATGTTCAGCTGCTGCCATTTGCATCTGGAAATGGCACGCTTCTAAAGGAATTGTTTTCCTCCAAGGCTGCTGGCTTGTGTCATGTTTGAAAGTGAAGGATTTTGTTAACTTTAGCTGGTCAGCGTCAGGCCCAAGGGTGTGATGTAAACAGTTTTTCCCTTTATTAGGCATTAAGTAAAACTAGGCTGGCCACAGTGCATTTTAAAAATTAGTTAACATATAGCAAGGGCCAGCAGCCCTGAGGACCCATGAGGAGCAGTGGCCAGACTCATCCCTCTATCTGACACATTGCTGCTCACTGACCTCATTCAGAGGCTGCACTTCGCACATGAGTGTCTGCCCTGCCCTGACCAGTCTAAAGTGGTCTCGTGAGTTCTCTTGCACAGGCTTCCTCATGACACATCAAACTGGGTCAAGGCTGTTCCTTTCCCATCATTTCCTCTTTTTGTCATTTTACGTCTTAAAAATTCATTGGCCAAACTCCCTGTGCTGTAGGTGTTGTGTCTCTTTTGGGAACCATTGGAGTGGCGCTTCACTGGCTTTGAGCAATATCTGGAGGCCATCCAGTCTGTTTCTTCGCCTCCAACCAGGGTGGCACCGGCACAACCTGGTTTATATTTTTAAACATCAGTGGAGCAAGAGATTCCTGTGAGATAGTTGAGAGTTTCACTTTTATCCTTCAGTCCACCTGCTGCTTTGTGGCTGATGGAGAAAGGAAGGTTCAGTGATAGGTAAACTGAGCAGACTTACATGGCAAGCAGGTCAGGGAGCCTTTGGAACTGATGTCCCTCCTGTTAGTACATTCTGTAGTATCTAGGATGCTAGACTCACTGCCCTACAGCTGTTGAGTTGATAGCACTTGTCAGATTGCAGCTAAGCGGGGGAGAAATGACCCAAGCCTTGTATGCACATATGAATAATAAAACAATAAAAAAAAAAAGATTGCAGCTAAGCCACCTGGAGACACCTCAACTACTCGGCAAGCCCAATGGGGATGAGGAGCTGTGTTAACATCCAAACAGCATGGGTAGGATAGGTGGCTTCCGGCAGGTAGTACAAAATGTCCAGGTAAGTGCAGTGGCACATGCCCATAGTCCCAGCTATTTGGAAGGCTGAGACAAGAATTGCTTGAGGCTAAGAGTTCAGGGCCAGCCTGGGCAACGTAGTGAGGCAGCAGTCCCATTGGGGAATTATGCAAAATAATACCAGTCTTTAAAAGAGAGGATATGAAGAGAAGAAATCTGCTGCCTTGTAACCCGTGACAATGAAAGAACAAAAGCCCTTAGCCGGGTCCCTGGTCTCACCTGACTCCTGATCAGATACTCCTGCCAAAAAAGAGGCTGGTCTTTTTTGAAAAGGGCAAGGTAGACTCCTTTTATATGTAACTGCATCACAGTTTGTGGCTTTTAAAAGGCAAATGATGCCAGGCACCAGTGGCCCATGCCTGTAATCCTAGCTACTTGGGAGGCTGAGGTCAGGAGGATCACGGTTCCAAGCCAGCCCAAGCAAATAGTTTAGAGGCCCTATCTCAAAAATACCCAACACAAAACAGGGTTGGCGGAATGGCTCAAGTGTTTTTCAGCACTTGCCTAGCAAACATGAGACCCTGAGTTCAAACCCAGAACTGCCAAAAATAAATAAATAAATAGCAAATGATGTTAAGATGTGCATTTTGTTTCCCAGTGGGTTGTTTCTGTTGTTTAGTTACATTGTCTTTTTCTTTGTTTTTTTTTTTTTTGAACATACAATCTTGTTATGTAGCCCTGGTTGGCCTTGAATTTGCAGTCTTCCTACCTCAACCTTCTGAGTGCCAGGATTATAGATTATACCACCATGGCTGGCTAGTTAGTTAGTATGGATGATGTTCACTTTTGGTAATACCCTGGAACATATGTTTTGGGGGAAAAGAGCAGAGTTGTGAAGAATAAGTATTTGAGGGTCTGAGGGTGTAGTTCAGTGGTAGAAGTAGTTGTTTGAGAATCAGACTCAGTTAGAATCCTGGCGCTATCCTCCATCAGCTGGGTGACCTTGGACATTGTTTGACCTCTCCAGGCTTCTTTTTCTCATTTGTGGGAAGGGAAAAGAGAGGAACTAAGCTCACATGTGGGTACATGTAAAGTACTTCTACACAGTGTCTGGCACCCTAGTAACACTCGACAGTAGCAACAGCTGATTTCCTGCTCACTGTGTGCTCAAACTGCTCAGAGCTGTCATTTAATCCTTACCACATAACTGCAAGATAGGTACATTTACTATTCCCCTTGTCCTTGGTGGAAAATGAGACTTGGTATGATTGGGTTGCTTGCTCAAAGTCACAGGAAGAGGTGGGACTAGAGTCTGAAGGTAGGCAGTGGCCCATGTGCTACCTTGCCTCAAACATGAGTCCCTCCTTATTCCTCTTCAAAGGCCTTCTCATCCTGGATCTTGTCGTGGTCCATGAAAAAGGCCCCTTAGATTCAAACATAGTACCTTCTTGGGGGTCCCCTATTGGACCCCAGGACCATGACCCTCACAGAACTAAGGTCATACCCTCAGCCATGGCAGACTTATCTACATGAACCCTCCAAGTAGGACATGTGCACCAAACAAGCTCCCTGGGTGATGGTTGGGAGCTCAGACTTACTTTGGGTTTGAAGGGAGCTAAAGGAAGGGTTCAAATCTTGCCCTGCTTCTGGGGTTTCCTCCTCACCCTGGTCAGAAAGGAGTTTCCTCCCTCCACAGGGGAGGTTGGCTCAGAGTTCAATGTGTCTGTTGGGAAGCACATTTGAACCTCATTCTAGGGTCCCAGAGTTGCTTCTCCATTACAGCCCCTTGGCAGTGAAGCTTTGTTGAAAAGCCAGTACTGGTTCTTCCCAAGACCTGGGGTTCTGGGGACAGCCCTCCTCCAGCCCTGATCACCTGCTACTCCTGCCTCCCATTCCTCAGCAGAGTCACGCAGGTTTTAGTGGATGCTGTGTTAGATACTGCATTTCCAGCCTAAGTCCAAAGGACAAGTGTTGCTTAGAAGTCTAATTTGAAAGATATACCGTAATGGTTTTCACTAGATGCTGGGGATGGGAGGAGAATGCATCTCATCTGTCCTTGAGGCACGTACTGTTTATTCTTCCACACTTTATTTCATTGATTGCTGAGCAATGTGCTACACCCAGTGCCAGAAACAAGAGACAGATCAATGTGAGATACAGCTCCTGCCCCAGGGACCTCTGAAGAGAGACAAGTGAATGAAAGGCGAGGGAGGATGTGCCTTGGGCACTGACCTCTGAGAGCAGACAGTAGGACAGAATCCAACCTTGGGTGGTAGGCAGGTCTCTCCTCACAGGAGGGACAGAGGATACCAGGCCATGGAGTTCTGAGACACCTACCTTTACTATCACAGAAATAACTTTCTTGTTCTGAATTCACCCTCATCAGTCAATTTTAAGATTGCCTAACAGATTCTTAACCCCCATGTCCTCACCCTTTGCTATATGGGGTCATCCATGGGCCTTAGCCCATTAGCCAGTGGGATGTCAGTGATCAGGAAACAAGCAGCCTTTTTTGTTTTGTGGTAATGGTCCCTGGGGTTTGAACTCAGGGCCTTGTGCTTGCTAGGCAGGTGCTCCACCACACGAGCCACATTCCCAGCCCTTTTTGCTTTATTAGATAGAGACTCGTTTTTTGTTTTGTTTTGTTTTTTGTTTTTTTTTGCCTGGGCCAGGCTTTAGGCTGTGATCCTCCTACTTTCGCTTCCACTTCCAGCATAACTGGAAAACAGTTATGCCCAGCTTATTAGTTGAAATGGGGTCTTGCCTACTTTTTGCCCTGGCTGGTCTCGAACTGTTATCCTCTTGAGCTCTACCTCCTGAGTAGTTGGGATTAGCCACTGTTTGGGCAGTCTTCAGAAGCAGTAAGCAGTCTTCAGAAGCATTTGCCCTGCTCTTGTTCCTTTGCCGCCTGCCACCTACAGACCTGCCTAGGCCATGTGTCTGGAGGATAAGGGACATATCCAAGTCATGTCAGTCTCCTTAACCGAAGTCAGCCTACAGGTAAGCAGGCCTGGTAGAGATTAGAAGAATTAGCCATGTCCAGTCCAAATTGCCAACCCACAGACTCTGGGTTGCTTATCCATTCTACGCAGTCAGACAAAGTAGGCTGGAGTTAAAACACTTTGCAAATAAGGACACAGGCCCAGAGAGACTGAGTTTCTCAGCCCTGGTTGCAATGGCTTGGCAGTAGGGCAGAAGAAGTAAACTTCAGAGGACCTTTGAAAAGTTAGAGATCTGTGCTATGCATTTGCAGAAGGATTGATAAAACTCTTGCCTGCTTGAACTTGGGAAGGCCCTGGTGCTTTTCACACTGGTGGCTCAACAGAAACAGGTTGGAAAGCAGGACATTAGTCACTTCTGTTAACTACCGTAGGCTGCATTTGTTAAGGATTTACAAGAAAGAACTGAGCACGGAGAAGAGTCATCTGGTGTTTGAGTAGTAAGGAAAGGAAATCAAGTCCAGAAATCCAGGGCCTTCTGGGGCCAGAAAATCCTCCACAACTTAATAGAGATTACATACAAGACAAGTTCCAGGCAATAAAGGACCAGGAAGGTGTGAGAGCGAGGGAAGCCTATTAGGCTTTTGGTTCCTGAGTGGCTGGACCAACAGGAGCTGCACGGGATGATAAGAGACTCCACATCATCAGAAACCCAGGGGCTTGAACCAAACACGGATTGGGTAGGACTTTGGACGGTGTCTCTTGAGGAGAGGGTGATGTGTGCTCTGAGTGAGAAGAAAAACTTGATGGTTTGGCAAACAGAAGGGTAGATTGTGACAGAGATTATGGTGTCTGCCCATCACACCATTTCTGCTTCTTGGGGATGCAGGCAGACAACTTCCTGAGCATGTGGGAGACTTCCTGAGCATACAGGAAGCCGTGAAGAGGTTCCCTAATAATGAAGCTGGTGCTGTGGCATCGTCTGGCCAGTGGAATGTAAGTGAAAGGAGTGAACGTCACCTTCAAGCCTGACCCTTAGAAATATCCTGGGTTGCCTTCAGCCCATTATCCTGTTGCAGATATCCAAGAAGCCCCCATTCCACACTACACTGCACAGAGGAGAATTACCTAAATATTTTCAAACTATGTGAATACTAAGTACTTTAGGTCTGTCCTCATCATTCCCTATTGGATCCTGAACAGCACACTCAGAATAGCAGGCTCACAGTGTGTCACTAGTACACGCTAATCCAGTGAGCCTCATCTTGGCTAGCCTCTCTTAGTTTCTGTGTTCCAAGATATTTCTTGACATCTAATCTTCTCTGCAGTCCCTCCTACCACGGGGCTTTTGTACCCACTGTGTGTCTTTAGTCAAACTGTTCTCTCACTCCCCACAATGACTGGGTCAAATCTTCCACCCGTTCCCCAAACCTCTTTTCCTCTTTCTTCAACACCCAACTTGTGCCAGGGGTTTATGACATCCATCTCCATTTCCTTCACCTCTCATTCATCCCCATCTTAACCCATTAGCAACTCATTATTCTCTGAAGGCATCTCTTACCGACCTCTGCATTGCTAAATCCAGTGGACATTATGCAAACCCCTTCCCTTGCCTCTAGCTAATAGTAGACACCTCTGTCTTTGGTTTCAGGATGGTAACATTTCCTTGAGTTTCCTAGCCACACCTCTGCCTCTGTGGGACACATTGTCCTCTACCAGGTCATGAAGTGTGACATTCCTCACCATGGTGCCCTAGGAGCCCTCTTTGCTCTGGATGCTGTCTCTGCTGACTTCGCCCACATCAGGGCATCCCTTACCACCTAGATGTGGACAGTCCTCAAATCTGTGCTTCAAACCATACTTTCTGCCAATTTTCACCCTTGTATCTAACTGCCAGCATACTCCTTTAGTATGTCTCAGAGGCCTTATAATCTCAGCATGTTCAAAATTGAACCAGGCTACTCCCTGTGCCTGCTAAAACCCCCTTTTCTTTCTCTTCTTCTGGAGTCTGTCTCAGTGAATAGCATCAGCAGATGGCCAGTTGTTCTAACTGGGAGCTGGTCGAAGTCCTCCCCTTTCCTCCACGTGCATCACCAAGTCTGGGTGGCTTCCCTCCAAAACAACTCTTGAATCCATCCACTTCTACCCATCTCCAGCACCTCACCAAGGTCAAAGCTATTCATCCCTTATCTGGACAACTGCAACAGCTTCCGCTCTGCCTTCATCATCTGGTACGTCCCGGAATCTGTCTCTCCCTGGGGCCCACATGTCAGTGCACAGACCGGACCATGTCTCTGCTCCCTAGAACCCTCAATGGCTGCCCATTGCTTTTAAGAAGCATCACGAGTGGGGAGGAGGGATGCGGGAGATGAGCAGAGGGGTGAATCTAGTTAAGATATATTGTAAGCTCATATGTGAATATCACAATATATTCCCCCTGTACAGTTATTACATGCTAACAAAACGAAGTATGAGCAAAATGAAGGAAGGAAGAGAGGAAGGGAAGATGGAAGGAAGAAAGGGAGAAAGGGAG